TCATTCAGTTATCTGTCCACACATTTTGAATATTTTCTTAGATTCATTCAAGTATGCACTTCTCTGAGTTAGTAATTCAAACTGAGTATATAGAATACAGTTTATAGTGTAAGTGCCACAAAGATTTCACTTACTGAAGACATTACAAAACAGACTCACCACATGTCTGCTGAGATGTTTGCTGTACTTCCTGGTTGAACAAGGACCCATCCTCCTCAAGGGTCTCCAAGTAATTGCCTGTATGGTGTTATTGTATTATTATACAAATATCTGAAACAACCTACTTTTGACTCAAAATATTGTACTCTGACTTGGAAAAGCACAGATTCCAAACAGTCACCTGTTTGATCTCTTCAGAGAGAGCGTTCATCACCATGATGTTAGGAATAATCTGACAGCAACAAAATTACATGACATGTCAACTTTTTTTAATTTCTAGTGTACACCAGTTTACATCAGTATTATTTCAAAACATAGATATAAAGAACATTCAAAATATTGTATTATTATTAAGAAAAACTTAATAACGTATGCTTCAGGAAGCCATGTTTTTTAACTATCTCTCCCCCATATTTAGAGCTAGACGAGCAACATTTACATTTACTATTCTAGTAAAGTTCTGTCAGATGGGGCATGTCTAGGGCGGTTTCTAACTACTTGAAATCACTATTGTGGTTTACACTTTGTCAGCCCTTGGGTGCCCCCTACTGGTCTGAAGCACCAAGCAGTTGCCTGCCTTGAGTGTTGAAGTAGCACCTCTGCACATTTTGCATACAATTCCTACAGTCATTTAAATTTGGGATATGTATTCAGTTGAACACTTTTACAACCACCAATCATTCATTTATTATGTTAAATAATTGTAATTTGCACTTTGAGGTCAGGTCATATCAACCCGTCAAATGCAAATTCAGTGCTTTTAAAACCATTATACCGGTATATAGGGGAAGTCTGCTAAAATAGGCAATCAGAGCATTTGGATTATCACAGCTCTAAAAATGCTACTGCCAATCACAATGAGTGAACATTTTCATTATTGCTATGACACTAAACAATAGTTTGTATTGGTCCGAGGTTGCTGAGGTTGCCAATGATCTTTTCAGGAAACAAGAGGCAGCAACGAGCTGAATATAAACCAGCCTTGTATTCCATGTAGAAAACTACACTTGGTCTGAATTCAAACATGGATTATTTGACATTTGAGCAGAAAGGCCACTGTCCACAAATCAGGCTCTACAAGGGCTTTCTGTACAAATGCTGTGGATCATCATAATGATCAATATCACATCACACCTCATATTCCAGCAGGAGAGGATGCAACTATATATTTGCATGAATTTCATCTATGGTTCAGATTTAAGAATAAAAATGATTTTCCACCTGCTAAAAATATGTTAAAGGCAGGGTTGGTCATTTTCGAAAACTAGCCTGATTTTGAAAGTAGCACTCCCTCAGTGCTCAGTCTACACACCCACTACTCCCCTCTGTGCTCCCCCAAAAGCCACGCCCCTCACTTACATGCACGAGGGCCATTAGTTCCAGAAGAGAACTTCAGCTTTAACTTACTGAATGTGTGAATCTGAAAAGAATCAATTCTTTACAAAATGTTCAATGTTTCCAAAAAACTGTTGCCCTGACTTTACAGTTTTTTGCTCTAATCCTGAACTTATGAAGTCTCTTGTGTTGCTCTCCAACTCCTTCTACAATATTTAAATTGTCCTTCAAATGTAGTGCTGACAAAAAGATGACCATTTACCGTGTTCATTTTCTTTTAAATTAGCCTTTTTCTGCCCCCCCAAAAGTATCTTTAATATCAATGACTGATGTCAGGTACCTCATTCAGGTACCTGACAGACAGCTAGTTAGTTCACTGTCACTCTCTGTCTCTAATTGAAAGCTTTTTCACTCTTCATAGAGTTATTCTTTCACTTCAACTTTTGATGTTATGATCGTTCTCTTTGTAAGTCAGAGATTGCAGCCAGCTGTAATTGAGCAGTGATGAAGTGCACTAGAGAGGAAGAAAGGGGCTGCCAGTGGATTAAAACACCTCACCTGCAGAATTAGGTCTAAGCTGCAGTTTTGCAGAACGCTGAGCAAGTCCTTTGTTGTATTGTTTGAGTGCATTTTTGTGCTTTTCTTACCTCAGGCAGCCTCCGGCAAGTAAACAATTAACCAAGCATGAAGAGTGAAGGCTCCCATTCTGTCACAATCAGCACTTTGTATTTGCTGATGTGGAGTTTTGAAGCCCCAGCCCCAGCTGGGGGCATACAACTACAGTTCAAGACATGAAACAGCCTCTGAACTGCCTTTACACTGAATCATATGACAAACATTACATTGTTTACAGGGAGTGTGATTTGTGATGGGCTTTGGCTCCGGGGAGTTGACCAATTTCAATCCTGCCCGTTGGATTTAAGATGTGGGACTTTAGCCTTATCAGTTTAGTTCTTTACACTAATGGGATTTAATTTCATCAAATATCTTTTGAAAATGTTTGTTATAGAACATATCGTGAACAATACAATAAGCGTAACCCTTTATTTTTCTGATATTACCTTATATATAAAAACTGTATTTGCCCCTTAAACTGACCATAACCCAAATCTCCTGTAAAGAGCCAGAGGCTGAATTTAGTTCTTCACTTTGTCAGCCTGTCGTAACCTGTGTCTTCAATACATGTGCTCAAATCTGTCATTTTAATATTTCAACTGCCATGCTGTGAAACTGCACAAGAGGTTAGCAGTCAAACTATATGTTTTTCATCATATGTTAAAATTCACAAGTGTCCAGACTGGAGGTCAAATTCTTGCATGTTCACACATTTTTCATCTTCAATCAGGAAAGACTTAATTAAGTCGAAAAAATGTCTTCTCACGTTCTGAAAAAAAAGGAAATGCAATGTATTAAAGATGTAAATATGTTCTTGTACTCACAGAGTAGTGAGGTGGGGGCGCTGGTGGCCGAATGGTTAGGGCACCCACCCCATGTACAGAGGCTGTAGTCCTCAAAGCAGGCAGCCTGGGTTCAAGTCCCTCTAGTGACTCCCTTATCGCATATCATTCCTCACACTCTCTCTCTCTCTCTCTCCCTATCACTACAAAAAAGGCTTAAAAAGCCCCCAAACAAATCATATTTTAAAAAAGGGGGTAGTGAGGCATACAGCACGATTAGGATACCCCCTGGTGGTGTTTAGGTTATGCTGGTGCTGGTGGTAGAAGTATGCAGGATGTGATGAGGAGTGGACTTCTGTGGAGCTAGACCTGGATACTGTTGAGAAGGAGTGGAGTTGACTGGTTTGGAGGAGGGTTGCAGCAATGAAACTGAAACGACACACTGACATGGCAAGAGAAATGATTTTAAAATATGACATTAGCAGGATGATTAGTCGATAGAGGTCGTGACAAATCAGGTTGATATAATACTTTAATAGTAAATGATACAGCAGAGTGAGTTACATGAATAAATGTATGAACGAGTACAAATCAGTCTTCCTGCTTGAACTTACACTTACCAGTAACTGCATTTCAGAAACTGACAAGCACAGTGTTAAAATCCAGCTCAGAGGCCAAGAGGGACATACCGTATCTATTCTACAGGAGATACAGGCAATAATATGGATTAACTAAATCTTCCAAAGATTTGATTATTGTTCTGTAAAAGACATCAGTTACATATGTTGGAAAAAAGAAATCCAAACCTGTTCAAAGTCTGTCTGAACCCCTCCACCCCCGCAACACAAACTGGACTTTTGGGTTTGCTTGAGGTTGGCATCTAAAGGGAATTATTGGAAATACAGCTTAGATGCGGGTAAAAATAAATCTAAATGATTACTGTGTCTACATTTGAAGCTTTCCACTTTTATACATGGACGTTTAAAAAAGGGTGCACAAAGAGATGAAATCCTGTTTGTCCCTCGAACAAGTGATGAACTCAACAATTTAAACTTTGAAAGAAACCTTCAAACTCACAAAATGAGTCTGCAATTAGACTGAAGAAAATGCTCTGGTGCATTTTGACAGAAGCCAAATCTCTGCTGTTGAAACACACGAGAAAGGAACATGATGTGACTTTCAGGCTGTCAAGAAACCTTTCCCAGCTTCAGAAAATGCAAAGCAAAGTAGACAGCACCCCCTAGTGGTTCTTTCAGGAACTGAGCTTGACAACATTCAAACAAGGAAACACGACAGAAAGGCAATAAATATTTTTATTCAAATGATGATCAAGATACAGTATGTGTAGAATAATTAATTTAAAGGTCCCTCTTTTGACGTTAAAGACCTCTCATGCTGTGACGATACAGTGGTATGTGTTCAGTATGTTGGCATGCATTCAGGGGAAAAGAGCCCCCAAAGCTATCAATGAAATCAATTTACGGCACAGAGAAAGGTTATTGTGTTAGCCCCGCCCCTTTTGACACAAAGGGCAGAGACTGCATTGAAACAAAGTACAGGATTAAATACTGTATGTTACAGCTTTTCTGTGGTTTGCATTCAAACCTTAAATGCTTTCTTTTTGTTGTTGTTGGTCAAAGAGAACAATTATTCTATAAAAGGAAAGAGGATGTCTTGTTTTGCTCAAGGTAAAAACCTTAACCTACTCTCATTTATTTGGAATGAAATATCTGCTTAAAGGTCACATATTATCCTCCTTCTAAGTCTAAGGGAGAACCAAAACATGTCTGTGAAGTGTCTTGCCAAAAATCCATGTTCAGGTTTGATCATGCCTATAAACTCCTCTATGTCAGCCCTGCCCACAACAGGCTGTTTCTGTGTGTACACCTTTAAATGCAAGTAAGCGAAGTCTGACCACGCCCCTCTCTGGAAGGGGATGTTGCTCGGGCTTTCTTGCACCATGCCCTATTTTTTTTTAAGTTGGGAAGGCAACTATCACCTAGCTGTGGGAGTGTCACCCACCTGGGGGAGGGGTTACTGCCCTTTGTGATGTCATGAAGAGAAAACCTCCACATGGCCTGTTTGAGCACACATTTTCTGAAAAGTGGAGCAGGTAAAAAACGGAGAGGATGAACTTTTCGCCTAATTGGGAGGTTTGTAGACAGGCTAGGGACACATACGTATTTGCAAAAAAATGGTAAATTGTTGTTTGCATAATATGTGACCTTTAATATGTGAAAACTGGTTTCAAAAGAGGTAACACTTAACAGTATAACACAAGCTGCAATTAATTTTCTGACTAGATCATGGGCTGAAAAAGATAATTGGCTATTATCATTGAGTTCTCCACAGGAAAAAAAAAGTGAATATCCTTCAAAAGCACACTCCAATATTGTTATGAAAAGCATAACTCCAGAGTCTCTATTCGCAGCCCTTCCCATCAGGGAGCACGACCTCATTACATTTAGGAAAAAACTTTCGGGTAATGAAAAATAAATAATGATCAGTCAACCACAAACAGCCTTCCTCATCCAGCCAGTACATTGCACCTTACAGAGAAGGACACATTATATGCATAGAACTAGTCTTTAAAACAGACATACAGTGCGTACAGCTCAGTAACATGCAGGTAGAAAGTAAAAAAAAAAAAAAAAACAGGTCAGCATTTCTCATACATTCAACACATTGGTGCTGAAGTATTTAGAGTATGGAAGCATTATATGTCTGAATTATAAGTCAATATTCTATTTTTGAGACACACACAGGACTTTATCTAGACTGATACAAACAATTAAGAAGATGTGAAAAATAAGAACACAAATGAAAGTTCACAAAAGGGGGGAAAAAGTGGAAAATTTCATTTTTTTCAGCTTTGGGATCCTCTAAAATGTCAAGGAAATGAAAAGGACATTTCATTTGAAATATTTGCAGAGTTGCATTCTCCCTCCGACTAAAGATGACACCAGCTTTGCTCTCCATCACCTCTGCAGATATGTCATGCATAGATTTGTACAAAAAGTCTGCAGCTGCCCTGCACCCTACTTTTATAGCTCAGTAAAGAAAAAAATAGTTTAAAGGTTTGTTTTGTTTTACATATCCTTGTATACTTATACAAAATGATACATACGTGAATGTTTTGGTGCACTGAAAATGTGCCGTTTGGAATAACATCTGTAATGCTGACAATACAAAACAAATAAAACAAGTCAGAACATTCACAATCAGAACGTCACGTTCAGTCACCTTTTGTTTTAGTTTTCAGTCTACATACCAACATCCACTTTGAGGAGTCAAATACATCACACAGCTGAAATGTGAAACTCAGCAACAACACAACCGTCTTGGTCCAAACAACTGGAGAGAAGTGATTAGCAGTCGGTGCTAGGAAACATATTTTAACCGTTGCACACAATGGCTGCAGAATATTTTTGCACCAAAACATTCTTTTTTTTCCCCCCTTGATGAATTTCAGTACCGTCATGGCTTACTATGAGATTATAAATATATAGCAAACACTTAAAAATCACATGTTGCAAAAGCTTTGCAAAAGACGAACGTCTTAGTTGTTTAACAAGCTAACTTGAATGCAGTAATGATTCATTGAGATTGTTCAAAAAGCACTACATCAAATGTTTGTAAAGCTTGTGATTGATTCTAGTGAACGGGAGTTTTATAAAGAACCAATCAAATTGTGTGTAACAAGTTTGTCTATGAGCGTGCAAATATTTAGATGTAGCTTATATAGCGTTTGCATTGGGAAAGTAAACACATGCATTCAATGAAGTAAACATTTCTTCACTCCCCTTTTTTTTTTTTTTTTAATTTCAGGAAAACTGTACAGATTATTCACTCTCAAGTATTTTACAAAAATGGGCCATGCCACTGTAAAGCCGAGTGAGCCAGACAATCATTGTCAAGAAAACCTACCCTTATAAGAGAACCATTGAGGGGATGGTAGTGACGACCATTGCCTGTTCCCCTTCCCTGTATACCTGAAATAACTGTCAAATAGAGACAAGGAGAAATACATGTGGATCGACTACAATAAAACACCAAACCTTACAGTTGAAGCCTGAGACGAAGCATGCTGGGACTATAAACGCATGCAGGATAAAAGGAGGAGGTGGGCCGGGCAACAAAGGCTGAAGACAGATTCAGGAGAAATGCTCTCCCCTGTGACACTCTCAAGTCCTGCATTCTCCAAACTCTGCCTTTAAAGTGGAGAGCATTGAAGAAAAGACTTGGGGAAAAAAAGTGCCTAAGATCCTTATTTCTCAATCTTTTCTGCGCGTGCCACACTTGTCCACCTCACAGGAAGTGGGAAGTGTACACGGGTGTCGAATGGCAGTATGAAACTGTGAGTTTAGGGGCGTTGTGCTGTGTGGTTGCAGGCAGGCAGATCTCAGCATACGAAATAAAGCGTCTGCATCAGGAAAGAGCCTCGTCCTCCCCCACATAGGGCAGGTCCATACTCTTCATGCCGTCACCGCTCTCCTGTTTCCTGCGGAACAGATCAGAGAGGCAGCGTTAGATAGGGAACTGGTGTGTGCCTTTAAGCTACTGTTAAGCTATATTTAGGAATCAAAACTAATAATGGAATTGTTTCATAATGCCAAGCACTTGAGCAAGCCTTTAGACAAATGTACAAGTCACACAAGTGTTTCCCCTACCATTATATTAGAGGGGCGGCCCGCCCCCCCCTAGGGGAAACACTGTAAGACAATACATATCTATATATGGGAGATACCAGATATAGAGGGGAAGCCTATATGTTAAAGTTGAGAGACAACTTGCTTAATTGCTGGCTTCATGCAAACCAATTAGCAACTACTTAACACAAATGCATAACACTGGGCTAATGTTGATGGACCAAAATGCCTTATTCATTTTAACTGTCAGAGAGTCACTGATTCAACTTTGTTGTGGTCATTTGTGAAATAAAAGCTGAATGTATTTTTATAAGTCTGCGTTACACATTAAAGCTGGGGTAGTCAAATAAACGCTGAGACTTCAATGTAAAATCTGTTGAAATACTCTCTTCTACCCAATAGCAATAAATAAGACACAAGTCTGTAGCTGTGGCTGTCTTAGCTGTGGCTGTTGCTCAGGACACGGAGCAGGTAGCTCGGCATGGACGGCAAATTAAAAAGGAAGAAGGAGCGACTTTTTGATCCAGTAGATGTCGCCCTTGAGCACCAGCATGAAACCAAAACAAACTGCTGTTTGGCGACACCTCCGCTATTCTGAAGCCTCCGCTCTCCTCCAGCGGCACACCTCCAATACCTCTCCACTTGCGTTGGCACTAAGGAGTTATGAATTAGAACGCACCATAATTAAGGAGAGGAAAAAATTGTCCTCAGCTCGAGCTGCAATTGCCTGTGTCCTGCATTGTTGTGTTAGCAGGCTAATGTTAGCACACTTTGGTTAACACATAAACACGGCCCGACAACAAGACAGCAAGCGTGACTCGGGCTTCTCACTCATTGTAGAGAGTCATGACTCAGAGAGACATTTACAGACGATATACTTTATTTCTTCTGTATTTATGTGTTAAATGTCTTTAAACTGTTGAATGCTTTCAATGCTTATTCCTGTTTCTGTCCTCAAAGCTCAGACATCTACCCGAGCTGTAGCATGTTAGGACGCAAAACCAATCACAAACACATCTGAGCTGCCCCCTCAAATATTACAACAAAGTTGAGTCATGTCCTTTCTGACAACTTAAACTAGATCTTTAGATTTTGGAGTTGTTCCTAATATTTTGACCATCACCATTATAATATTGTTCTTTAAGTACTGTTAAGTATTGTTCATCCACATTTTAAGTACTCAGGCTTGAATCATTTTGAAGTATGTTTATATGTAACCATGGCTTTGTTCACACAAAGAAGCTCATGCACGTTAAACATAGCTTTACGTTACTTCAATTACTGTACTTTGTCATACATTTTAGTTTGGGGTATTCTGCATGACTCAGCAAACATGAGAGTAGAGTTAAGACACTTTCAGGTGGAATGGACTCCAGAGCACAAGAGTCCCAGCCGTTCATCTAAACAATCCAAAACCAGCACATGCTGATCAGAAGCCTTATGCACATTATTAAAGCCACAGACAGAAAAAAGGCTGCTATCATCATGCTGGGGGTCTTTAAAGATACTCTCTATCATAACTACAGAGGGCAAGTGTTGTCCTTGAGATTTTTACCTTCTTTGCTTACAATGAATGTAGCAGTATCTCACTTTGCCTGCTCTGCCTTTCCTGCAGGGCAGGAGAAGGAGGAGAGAATGAACAACAGTCTTCTTGACAAAATATTAGAGTGCTGTGCTGACGTCATTAGAGCGTATGAGGACCCCTTCCCTTGTTGTCTGATTATTTTACAGCTAAAACACGAGACAGAGACAGAGACACGTTTGCAGTAGGTGATGTCTCCTTACACAATCCTTACGTGAGCGTTTGCCCTGAAGCACTCAAACTGCTACGGTCCTCTTTACGAGCCCAGTCGAAAGGGTTCCCAAAAGAGCGCTTCCTCAGCATGGTCCTCACCAGGATCTACAAAGACAATTAAATAATCATCAAAACATTATTCTTAGAAATGAAATAGAGGATTTAGACAACTTGAAATTCAAACAATCTAGTGTGGTAAAACATTTGTGGGATAATAGTACAATGAACACTTTTTAAATAACCTTTCAAATGAGCATATAAGCCTCAGATCTGTTCTTTTCCACTAGACACCATTGTCTACTGTTAGTTCTTACCAGTTTGAGAACTTAACACAAAAAAACTGGGAACATAAAGCCTTTAAATTAAGCTCAGACTTCGGTATCTAATGCAATATTGGGTATGTTCCTACAGGAGACTGAGCGGAGATACAGCCATACATTTCATATCATCTGTTTTCCAGTGATAATTTGTTGTTTACGGCTGTTTTCTTGACTTATTCATCTTATTATTTTCGAGGTAACAATGCTGGCTTTCCCATAATAACGTGTTAACTTCAGGTTGCTCTCTTCAGACTTCGACTTGTGTTTCTCGTGATCTGAAGATAACAAAGCTTGTTTACTTATGATAACAGGAGCTCTCTCTGGCGATCTGGAAATAAAACAATAGGCTGGTCACTGTAAAAAGGCCAGACCACTCGATGCCGTGCTGCCATTGCTCACATATATGAGGTCACCTCAGCCAAGTTTGTTTGATGGTTTTACATCCCTGAGAGAAATAAGTTGAGATAATGAGAAAATAACTGGGAAACTACTCGTTATTAAGGGGGAACTGTATACTCTATGTTGAAAGGACCGAGTGAAGTTCAGAGAGGTTCATCAAACAGGTGGTAGTGATACAGTGTGTTGTTGAGTTGGTGTGATGTGACAGAAATAAGGTTAAAAAAAATATGACATTAAAAACGAATCATTCATCATTCCCATGATTCCCCGCTAGCCTCTACGTCAGGGGTCTCCAACAGGTAGCTCAGGAGCTACTGGTAGCTCACCGGCAGGTTTTAAGTAGCTCACCTATAGGTTTACCGACTGTTCATTTTTTGATGACAGTAAAAATGCACCTCTTCCCACTATTCATATATGTGGCCCATAAAAACAAGTGTAAAGTAGTAATGTTTTCTTGGACATTGATGTGAATTTTCAGCAACATAGCTTACTATGTGGCACAATAAGAAGTGTTAAATATTTCTATTTTTTTCTTGGACCTTGATGTGAATTTAAGATTATTGATAAGCATTGGCTTATTGCAATTTCACACGTGTACAAACAGTAGCTTAATTCAGCTGATGTGTGCGATGTAAATAAATGCAAGTAGCTCTCGGCCACTTTCATTTTTTCAAAGTAGCTCTCAGATGAAGAAAGGTTGGAGACGCCAACATCATCTTTTGTTATTGTTTTGATAGAGAGCCCCCTGGTGGCAGAATTTACATACTGTGTGTTTTAAAAAAAAAAAAACATTAAAATGAAGACAGCTCTGGTGGTTTCTGTATTGTAAGTAATCTTTACCCCACAGCACAATTTGCCTGAAAGGTACCAGAGGCAAATCCAAATGAAACAACAGCGTGGCCATGACGGTAAATAATGTGAGGTTCTGTCTTTCAGGACAGACATCATAAGCTCACCACTGTAGCCAGGCTGGGGATGTGTTTCACCGAATTTTCCACCTCCTCCTCGGTCACCTCGATCAGCATACAGCAGTTGTCATCCTCAGGAGGGAGAGGCTCAGCGCCATGCCTCGTCACCCATGGGTGAACCTGAACACAAACGTGCGATGAAATCAAAGTGGCTCTTGATGTATTTCAGTATGATTTAAACATTCACAAGCAAATGAGAGGAAACCAGCGGGTTGATTTCATGATAATGTTTACCTTTATCTGTGGGATTGATATTCTGGTCTCTGGATTCTTGTCCAACATTCTCAATAACAAATCTTTGAGATCATCTGAGATGTCGGCACTGTTTGGACAGAAACAACAACATCTGCAGATAAAATAAATGAAAAAAAAGTCCTACATAGGAAATAGCATAGAGTAGGGCTGCTTGATTATGAAAAAAAAAAAATCACAATCACAATTATTTTGATTCATTTTGAGATCGTGGCGTACTGGTGGCGCAGTGGTTAGTGCGCGCGCCCCATGTTAGAGGCTATGGTCCTCCAAGCGGGCGGCCCAGGTTCGAATACCGCCTGTGGCTCCTTTCCTGAAGTCATTCCCAACTCTCTCTCCCTGATTTCCAACTCTATCCACTATACCTCCATTTAAGGCACAAAAATCCCAAAAATAAATCTTAAAAAATAATAATTGAGATTGTGATTATTAAACATGACTACTCGTTGATTTCAAAACTCCTGCATTACCGGCATATATTGAGCTAAATATATGAAAAAATATATATGTCACTTCCTAACTAATCGGAGTATGTGCCGTGGCTCCCTCTGCTCCTCATTTAGATGAAAGTAAGAGCTGTTTAAAGGGAGGGGCAGAGCACACTGTGTGCTGTAAAGGAAGAGAGGACACATTCTGTTTACCCCAAATAACAAAAGCTATGGACAAAACTAGCACAATAAAGCATGCGGCACAGTAATCGTTACATCTGGATTAACTTGATTTCATGATTATGGGAAGCCAAGGTGGTAATTGAAATTGAAGATTGACTAATAGCCCAGAGATAGAAATGTGACACAAGACACTTGTAGGAGGAGAACTGACTGTTCAGGTAACTCCACAGGTTGCGTCTTGATTTTCTGATGGAGACTGACGATCCGCTCATCCATAAATGGACACTGTGAACGAAGAAATGTATTTGTTTTAAAGGAAGACCAGCAGATATCATTCATGAAAAGAAAACCTAAAATAAAAATAAAAAAGAAGTAAATAACAGCATTTACTTGATCAATCTTTGCCAATGTGCACACTCACCACTCCAAAGACGAAGCAGTGAAGCGTCACTCCCATGGCCCAAACATCCAGAGCCTACAAGATAAACATAATTAAGGTTAAATGTTGGTGTATGAGGGTTGAAATCCACAATTTATCAAAACAATGCATTCAGTCACAAGAAACATATGACCACAGGGACAGGAACATTTACATAAATACTAAGAAAACTAACCAAAAAGCAAAGACGCATGCATATCTGAATATCACCACTAGATGGGGCTAGTTAGCTAACTTTTGCCTCACCTTTCCAGAGAAGTTCTTTCTGGTCTCAGAGAGCGCCTCAGGGGCGAGGAAAGCAGGTGTTCCCACCGTGCTGGTCAGGAGAGCATCTGTTCCCTCAAACTGGTTACTGACTCCAAAGTCTGCAATCTTGATGTGTCCATCTTCTCCCACCAGCAGGTTCGAGGGTTTAACGTCTCTGTGAATGATCCTCTGGTAATGTACTGGTGGAATAGGAAGAAAAAAAAATAATGATCACAACCAACCAATCAAGATGTAAAGCAGTCTCCCAATGGCAAGAAACAATGGATGAACTCTAACAATAAAACAAAGTTTGATTTAAGCGGGACATCTTCAAAACAAATTGGAAAAACAAATCAGTTGTTAGCTGACTTTAAAAATGAAATGGCTCAAGGGCCCATGTGAAGGAATATCAGACAGAAAGTTGGATTCAGTAATAGCTGCTGTCAAAAGAAAGGAACCCACCCACAGGTTTTACTTCAGAGTTGTTTACAAGAAAACACAGTGACATGTATTTCTTAACTGTGCACGGTGATCGAAGAGAGTTAAGCCCATGTTTATATTTCTTATCAGAAATGAATGTTCTGACTGTTGCAGTGTCCTTGGCACGGAGCCCTCCCTCTCTTTCCCTCCGCACTAGTCTCCAAGACGACACATAGAGCGAGACCGTTTTCGTGTGTGCTCAAATGCATTAAGAGCCACTGAGCTTACGTGAAATGAGCCTTGTGGGTGGATGAAGTCAGGAACAGCACAAACAAAGAACTTCTTTAAACTGCAGGGAAAAGTGTAGTACAACGGCAGATCAAGAGATTCAGTTTGATATCATGACTAGAGAAGTGTAATTTAGAGAATCACCACTGAGTATGTTGTAGATATTCAGTGCTTCTATCTATCTTTATCTCGATGGGTGATGCAAAAGATTTAAGAAAATGGTAATAGTAAGTAGAACTATTTATTGGTGGGATATTCTGTCAAATTAAGTGGGTCAAGTAGAGTCTGTCTAATAATTTTGGTCTCTAAGAGGTTTAAGGATTCATTTCAAAGTACCAGGAGAACACAATAAAGATGAACTCCAACGAGTGCAGCTGTTGTTACACTGTATCGTCTTTGAATTTTAATCTAGATGTGTTGTAAATCATCTGAGAGCGACTGATACACAGCCCTAATAATCCATGTGCAATCAGGTCATCCAAGTGAAAAAGTAAGAGTAGACAAGGAGGACTCACAGTACTCGATTCCCCTGAGCAGATCTTGGAAGTAAAAGCGTGACTGGTCCTCGCTGAAGGGTTTATCTGTTGGCACCTCCATCACAGCCCTGAATACAGGTACACACACAAGTACACACACACACACACACACATGATTAGCTATAATATCAAAAGAGCTGAGCTCATTCCAGGGTGACAATGATAACTATAAAAGAGACTTAGCTTACCCTTGTTTGACCAGCTCAAACACTGGGACAGGAAAAACACAAACAAATAAAAGATTAAAGTTGGTGTTATCATCAAAAAGAAGCTATAAAACATCTAAGAAGAGCTCCAAATAAATGCATTTATTCTTGCTTTATTCATGACTACATTTTGTAAGAAGTGCATGTTTGCATATGGGTGTGTATATTTGTATTTGTGAAGGCTGATTGTGTACCCATGTACAGATGGTCCTCACTGGGGTCGTCCAAAACCTGGCACCAAATCACAGAGACATTGAAATGAGTCTTAACACACAAGCACAAAAATTTGATCACCTTCTTTCAGAAAATGGAAACAACTATTCCTTTAATCTAGAATCTGAAATAATATGCGTAGCTAACGGCATCGTATTTTCTTTAAAAGGCTTTAAAGTTGTATTTGTTGCTTTTATCAAATGTTGTTTTCCTTTCATTTATGAGAACAGATCAAAAGAAACAGTGCTACTTGAGAAAATGGATATTGCTGTTCTGATCCCTCATTTTCCATCCTCTTAGGCTTCTTTGGAAATTGTCTCATTAAAAAGTTGGCAACGTACTTTGTTGCTTTTTTAAAGGAAGATTTAGCCAAAACTGTTTGCATACTTTTATTAGATAGAGAAGACCATATTTGTTACACAAATACAATATTATGACTTTCTCTTTTTATCTAATACCAGCCGAGAAGGTCTTACCTTCCCAGTAAAAAAACCTAAATATAAGTACTAACAGCCATTACCTCTGATAGTTTGACAACATTAGGATGGTCCAGCTTCTTCAGGATGGCAATCTCCTGATAGACCCGCTCCAGGGGCCCTTTGGGCTGAGGGGGACCCACAGGGCCTGCTTTGGCTCCACGAGGGGGAGGTCTCCCTGAGCGAGAGAGAACGAGAGAGCAGTAGGGTCACAGGTGAGGGATGGAGGACTGGGTATTGTTATGCATCGTTCATGCACCAGTGGAGCATTATTAGAGACTGTGCACTCTGCTGCGATCGCCATCTGCCACTGGCTCCAGACTTACGTGGGAAACCTGCCTGCCTCATCAGCCTCTTCTTGGACAACACCTTCATCGCCTACAGGGGAGAACAGAGGGTGGATTTTTACAAGGAGCGGAAGATAGAGAGTGTATGAGGTCCAGAGAAAGATGAACTGAAAAGTGAACATAGAAGAGTAAAAAATAGAGCAAAGCGAGGTGATGTGCTTCTGCCAGTAAGCCCACTCACACACCTGCCGATCGATACCACAGCAGCATCTATACATTTCTACCCTCACCTTGAACATCCTTTGTGTTTCTGAAATAACCAACACTCACCAGACAGAAAGATGTTTTTAAATATAATCCGACCACTTCCTTTTGACTGCTAGATCGTAAAACTGCTTTTATTTGATTTGTCTTAAATTAGGCTGCCTGTGGGTGAGATACCCACATTTAAATACTGTGTGAAAGTTAGCTTTAAAGGTCACATATTATATTCCTTTTCAACAAGTTTAAAGAAGTCTCAGAGCTCCCCAAAACATGTCTGTGAAGTTTCTTGTTAAAAATCTACTCTGATTCTGCTTATTGTCATGCCTATAAACTCCTCTACTTCAGCCCTGCTCAGAACAGGCTGTTTCTGTGTCTGCAACTTTAAATGTAATGGAGCTGTGTTTGACCACGCCCCTTTCTGGAAGGGCTAAGGTGGCTTGGGCTTCCTTGCACTATGCCCGACTGTTAACGATGAGAAGGCAGACTCAGAGGGCAGAACAAACACCCAACAGGGGGAGGGGTTACTGCCCTTTGTGATGTCATGAAGGGAAAGTCTCCTGACGGCCTGTTTGAGCACACATTCACTGAAAAGTGGAGCAGGCAAAAGACTGAGGACTTTTCTCATAAATGGGGGGATTTGTAAAACAGACTGGGTACACATATGTGGCCTTTAAGTACCATGATCGCCTACTCCAATGCAATTCAGATATGTAAAGGATAACCAGTAAGATGTCTCCCTGATTACCACAACTCACAACAGTCAAAGAGAGCTCAGTCTTTGACAGCTACATTGTTCGGTGGATATATTTCCCTGTTGAGGGCAAAACTAATTTTTTTTAAAGTCTGTTATTGTGGAAATGATATAATCAGTGAAAGGGATCATGAGGGCTTTGTCACTTGGGAGGAATATTAAAATAATCCACATGTCAATGTTTGTCAGTATCACGCAGCTTAATGAGGATTGTAGCAATATTCACCAACAGTAGACAGAGAAAAAAAAAGTGTCATTACAGATATCATCGACATTTTCACGTGGGGGTTTGGCAGAAAATGACACCAATAAATGTAACAAGGCGGGGTTCAATTATTATGAAAAGTGTGTGTGTGTGTGTCTGTATGTGCATGTGTGTGTGTCTGTGACAGGGGAATGAGATAGTCTTTAAAGTGTAGGTAGATGTCACCTCTGCATCATCGTGTGCATTATGAACTCACATAGTATGTGTTGTCGTCCTCATTGTAAGCCAGCTTGACAACACCATAGGAGCCCTGACGCAGGAGTAAGTAGAAGAGCATGGAAGTCAGATTGAGCAGCTTTCAATTCCTCGTTTGAGAAGAAAAAAAAACATGCACAAAACAACAAACACACAAACATAAACACACACAAAAAGGGAAGTGTGTGGGCTGACAAGGTACACTGACAGAGTACCAGCTGCTTCAAAGTGAGAACAGAGAAATTCAAATCATCTCTCTCTCTCTCTCTCTCTCTGTCTGTCTGTCTCTCTCTCTCTCTCGCTCTCTCTCCCTTTCATTTTGGATTTCAGGCTAATTAAGGAACTGGATCTGGTTTATGCTATCAAGCAGGTCTGCCCACACACAGGAAATTCATGGAAAAAACTAGGCCCAATAAGTAGCCCGTGTGGAATTATTCATGCTGAAAAACAAACAGGCAAAGAGAGAGAGAGAGAGAGAGAGAGATGGAGAGAAAGAGGAGGGGAAGAGAGTGGGATCAGTTCCTGCTGGGGGAGCAGATTGGACAGGCAGCACAGAGCTCATCCGACGGTTCCAGCTATGATCTGATAACAGAAGCCTCTCCAACAATCCAGAACAGATCTACTTGTCTAAGCTGAACATTAGAAACACTTTAACGTGTCTACTAAAGACTGGAGACGTAGACATTTACAAACATGCATGTTTAATTAAAAAAAAAAAAACACACACACAAACACAGACAGAGCACAGAGACAGTCACACATTAGTATCCACTGAGTCTTGCACAACCTTAGAGAGCGCTATTTATACCAGCCTCTCATCCATCTTTCAACTCTCCCATGGCCTGCTGGTTCACTCAGAGTTTCGGGAAATGAGGACAGCCAGGAGAGAGGATATCAGAGGCTGTTACTGCGTGTCCTTGATGATGTGCAATACTTGACAGACATGCAGTAGGCGGAAGGGAGAAGGGAAAAAGGAAGAGTCAGTGAAAGGGAGCAATCAGTGAGTTGTCTCTGACGGTACCTTTCCAATCTCATCTTTCAGCTTGTACTGGTTGAGTTGAACGCAGTCCTTGAAGAGAGAAGAAGCAGGAGATGAAAAAAAAAAAAAAAAGGAGAGAGAATGGCTTACTTTAAATAAATACAAAAACTCACATCACAAAATCCGCCTTTACAAAGAATGCATACAAATCTTCTACATTACATTTCGTTTCAATTATTTTTTTGTCTTTTTTACATTTTCATGTACAGTGAGTTTTGAATATCAGTGTTCCCAAGGGGGCCTGATGCTTCCAGCTTGAAACACATTTCCTGTGCTTGTCGGCATATCAGTATGACTCTGCAATCACTGTCCCAGTTCAGTTTGTCATTTTTTTACAAGATTCTTTTGAAGCAAAACCTCAACAAATCTAAAAAAAAAAATCACTTATCAGAAGTAAAGAGTGATAAATCCAACATAAAGACCGACACTTCACCTACATTTTGACACTAATCCAATCTTTGTGCCTAACATTTGAGAGTCAGGAAGCGTGTCTGAGCTTTTGTAGTTCTGTGGTACCGGTATATGTAGCAGTCTAGTGTGGTCTCGGTCCATTTATCTGGTGAAATATGGATTTAAAGAAATGAGTAATAACCTAACCCTAACCCTAACCCACAGACACTGCTGAGAAGAAGCTGAACCCAGCCAGCAGAGAATGATTCATACCAACAACCAGGCATGCACTGACTAACCAACTCTTCATTAAAAAAACATTGCTGCATGTGAGTCAGTCGGTTATTGGCTCCTAAAATAGATTATTAAAATAATTATTTTAGAGTTTGGAGAAACTACGAAGCCCACCAAAATGACATTACTGTAAAATATGGAATATAAGTTGCATTGGTTTATACTGTAAGACGCAGTCCAACTTTAGTGATCTCCCAGAGAGAAAGAAGTTTTAAACTGTCTTCCATCGACAACGTACAGTTTCTGTGCAGCTGTGACGTTCTTTTAGTACCATCTGCTTTCACTTTGTGGAGTTTGCACTCCTACCAGCTACGGTACTGTAGTTGAGCTCTCAGCCTGCGGTGAAAGTTGTGATCTACAGACCCCCTTGTTCACCTCTTATGCACATTTGTTGTCTTTAACTCAGGAGTATTTACTCCACAAGCTTTATATACTAAACTGAATACCACCATTTTGCTTTAAATGAACCATTATGACCTCATGGCGGAGAAATAGATGGTTAAAGGTGGCACTGTTGGCCTCATCAGCGTTGCTGTTTCCCAGCACAGCTTGCAATACATAATGAATTGGAGTGAATTTTCATTTGCATCATGTTGCTTGCAGTGTTTGTGATGGGCTGCACTCATAGTAATGACGCTGCGTGCCTCAGTATTTTACACTGGTATAGGGGTCGCACCAGTATATAGGACACAGCCAACTTTCTGGATTCAAAAATTGGAATCTAAAATGCGGATTTATACACCAGTTTTTACTGTAGTTACACTCAAATGACAAAAAATTCTCCAATATTAGAGAATGTTCCAAAATGTTTCACCTAATAAACCTTAGCGTGGATTTCCTTACAATTTGTGATTCTGTTAGAACGAAATTGTAACAAGATCTCAATATCATGTAATAGAACACTGGTAGTCTGTGGGCACGAAAAGAGACAGTACGTACCTACTTTATCTACAGGTTTCTGCATCTATGAGCAACAGGGGACACTGTTATCTACAGCTACTGAGACTGTAAAACCTTACCTTTGCATCCACAAAGCTCTGTCTTTACCAGTGTACTGCTGCTTTAAGGACAAATGCACAGGTTGCTCTGCTTACTAACATACACCAAAGTATGTTACTGATGCTTTTATAACTAATACATATCAAAGAGGGTCACCGCTGTGTGAGCCTGGCCCTAACAGAAGAAACTATCTTCATCCATGTGTAATGCTTTTTGCAGTGCTTAGTCCTTAAAGGAATATACTGTTCAGAAGGTGCAGAGACCATATATTTGAATCATAATTATAATCATGTCAGCTGTAGGATCTATTTGGCTTGTTCTCTGGGACTTGTTGATTATTTGATCACCTACATACACACAAAACTGACTTGGCCATGCAGAAATGAAATATGGTAGAGATTTCAATAAAGCGTAGTGTGTGGAGTCGTGATTTAGTAGAAGACAGGCTGGGGACTTTTTAGAAGCTAAATCAACTTTACAGAAGGTTTTACAAGATTGTAGTTGTTGTTATGGAAACTGTTTTGGCTGAGGTCTTCACCATACCTGGAGGTCTGTGATGGAAACACTGTGGGACTCCACAGTGGGCCGACGAGACAAGCGTGGAGAGGAGTGGGGTGATGTGATGGGGGAGTACGGTAACGATGGGTAAATATAGCGCCCATTGAGTCCAGGAGAGCTGCAGGGCGATGCTGCCGTCTGTGAGCGCTCCTGCAGGGATAGTTTCCGGTCGGACAGGCTTAACCTTCCCCTTTGCTCTTGGCTTCCAGGTAGCAGAGTCTCTGACCGGCTGACTGTGTGGGACAGCAGGTCGCAGGAAGGAGCCCGGAAATGAGCAGTCAAAGAGGAGGTTGGCTCTGGCGTCTCAGAACTGTCCATTTCTTCCACCTGAGATGTGAAACATTTAAACCATAGTCTTTACTGCATGCGCACATAGTTAAGGTTGTCTATCCATATAAAAAGGCCTTCTTTTCTTGTATTACCAAGATAGATTGAGAGTGGAATAATGTCAATACTTCAACCATAATACACAATCTGTTATAATTCATGGGCAAAAAACACCTATAAAGGAAAATATAAACTAAACTTCTTGTGAAGACCGTGTCAAATATCGTTCCCAACCACGCTAATGATCCCTAAAATTAGATGTCTTTATTGGATTTAAGCACCAGGATGAACGCGTTGGATTGTCTTAATTCACATCTGGAGTCAAAATCTTAACCCAAAAGCTTTGGCTTCATAATTCACTGAATAGAGATCGTATGCCTCAGACCATGTCCGACTGGGTAAGGACGGCATATGGCCGAGTTGTTTTGTTATTGTGTAAAATAAATTCGTCCGGGGCCACATCAAAGGACCATTGAGTGAAGACCATTAGCCTGGTTTATAACTTTTTCTGCCCCGTCTCATTAAGCTTGTTTTTTAGGTTGCGCATTAGGGGAAGGGCAGTGTGGCCCAATACACGGTCACATACTGATTTATCGAGAGAAAGAGCTTTTAATTTTTCAATACTGCAAAATTGACCCCTTACAGGGACAAGGGCGAGAGGTGCGACCCACGAACAGTGCTTAATAGATTATAATAATGCAGCTTAGTGAGGATACAGATGTTTCATAGAGGCGAGTAAATAATGCAGATCTATTTGTCCAGTCTTCAGTGTAGTTTATATACACTAACAAAAACAAAGTTTCTATATCTGATCTTCTACCTGCTCACTCTTACTGCTATTTTTTTTTTTTTCATTAAATGCATGTAGTGATTCAATCACAAATGGTTAATGGTTTTAAATGCAAGAAGTAATGTTCCTAGAATTGTACACTTGTGGTTGGTTCGTCTAGAAATATGATTTTAGTTGTAAACAGAGCTCTAAGAGTGTTAATCTGTGTGTGTTTCATCTTACCTCCTCATCTCCAGGTGCTCTGCTGGGTTCGTACTCCGTGACCACGATGAGGGACTCCATGGGGTCTGGAGAAGGCGTCTCAGAGTGGGTGTTCAAAGGTGCAGCGGGACAGCTGCACAGCAGATCTGGCAACGGCTGTGCGGGCTGCGCTGGAGGTGCTGCATGACTACCGCAGGAGGCCGGCGGCTCAGCAGAGGGCCAGGGGCTGACGTGACAAGGAAACATGGTGCCTCTTCACAAAGACTGACAACCACTGATCCATCAGAGGAGAACCTCTGGGGGGAATCGGTGCCTAAGTCAAAGGAGCAAAATCAGAAAGAATAAATACACCTACCTGACCTAAAAAGCCTCTGCATTTTTCTCATAAGCTCCATGACTAAAAACATGGTACATGGGGGGGATGACAGCTCTCGCGATGTTCTGAATTGAGACTGCAGTAACCATTTGAAACGCTACCTGTCAGAGTTACATATTGCTCCTTTAATATCGACTGCTGTGTGCTGGCCAGAATCTAACAAAATCAAACATATGCATCACAAAGGGGTTACCATTCTATACGCTGTGATATATTGCCTAAATAGCCAAATGGCTGCATAATAAATTCCAATTTCATTATCATTGTTGTATAGGCAATACAAATATAGAGAACCAAGAAAAGCTAAATCCCTGGATTCCTTGGCCATGCATCAGTTGTCAGCTACCTTTAGATAATTTCATGTCATTTTTGGGTGACTCCAAGGTTAGCTAGCGTAATGACATCATGAAATGATTGTGTAATCAGAAAGGACAACTAGCACATTTACATGCAAAATGAAAAAAAAAAACTGGAAGTCACATCATTATCAGAATATAAAATAATGTGATCGCACATTACAGCTTGTCCTTAAATCTTGCCGGCCCAGCTCGGTCGTACACAGCTTTGGAAAAGAAAAAACATCTTACAGTAAATGCACATAACTGCCAAGGGCCAACACAGTGAAACTTTTTTATCTTATGATCACATTGAATTCTGCATTTGGCTTCTGCAGTCGCAAAGAGAGAATATGATCACCTGGAGACAAGGTCACTGAGTCACAAACTTTGGATTTGTGCAGGATGTGCTCATGCTGCATTTCCACTTATGTGGTTGTGTATTAGGGTGGGAGATTTGAACCATATAAAACCAATAAAACATTGTGCTTTAGCATCAATGTTTTAGTTCAGCGCGTGAACAACAACTGCAAACAACGACTTTACTAAGAGACAGCGCCTAATGAGCGTGCAGGAAAGACAAATATCAATCGCAATCTGCTCTACCTCCTACTTCCTCAACAGACCAAAGGAAACTATTGGAGGTTAGATCAAAAACAGACGGTTGGTGGCTGCATCTTTATTTAGAACTGGCATAAACCCGATATCTGTAGAACTGATGTTTAATCACCTTTGCCCACAGCTGGAGCTCAGTATTTGACAAGCCAGCATGAATAAAGTTGTGGGTGTAAGAAACAGTGTGGGGATTAAGCACTCAGAGATGCTGTTCGCTCGCTCTGAAACATCAGTTAAACCGCTCTTTCCACATGAAACATCTGTGGATTCTGTTCCTTTTCCACACATACTGTTTGGTGCTAATTAATGCACTCATTAACATCTAGTATCGCAAACTCCACTTCTTAGATGACAGATTTGATGCATCTGTGGAAGCGACGGTTCAGTCCGCTTTTTGATGTCAGTTATACAACACGTATAATTATTCTCCATAAAGCATTACAAAAACCTTTTTGCATAATTTCAAGAGGGCCATTTACATCTCCAAGTCCACTCATTCTATTATCTGCTCATTATATGAGAGGGGATGGAAAGGGCAGAGAAGGAGGGAGGGAAAGAGAGAAAGAGAGAAAGAAAAAGGCAAGAGAGCGATCCTTGTTTGCTGTCATGGTTCTGACAGGATATATGTATGTGTGTGGGGGCTGAGTAAGTCTCACAGACACAGGAAAACAAGGGAGGCAATAAGAAAAACAAGACAGTGGGAGCTCCAGCCATGTTGAGAATGATGATCATGTGTGGGAAGAGAGACACCCACTCCAGGTGGCCTCTCTACCTCCATTGTCAGCCTATAAATACTGATGTTAACTTACTGAAGGGAAGAGATAACCACCACACAGTTTAGTCAGTCATATCGCACAAATCTATTTCATGACGGAAACTTCCTCGTCATCTTGACGGCGTATTCTCCTTTGCCCCTCTCGCATGGAGTCTTAGTTTGTTTTGTTTAAAGCAGACACTCATTTCGAGTTCAATGCTAAAAGTCAAATGATGATTGTTTCACTCAGTTGAGGAAATGAAGCTCTTGAAATCCAGTCTGGCTTTTAACACACAGTTGCACTGTGACTGAAGTAGCACAATGTGGCCAGATAAGTGGACTCATCCTCTGTGGAGTACAGAAATAAAGAGACATGACCCCCGGATGAGACTCACCACAGAGAAGACTTTTTATATGCAGAGAAGAGAGGCAGCTCACCACACTTGACCTACTTTGATCTCAGTTAAATGGAAAAGGCACAACTCAAGACCGGTGTCCATTCATAAGAAGAGGTTTACTACATCCCTTTTTTGCACATATAGGGCTAAACTTATTTGGGAATACCATATTTATTTGAGTGATTGATTCAACGAGGAGATGGACAACTTTGACTTTAAACTCACAATTCTGACTTTTTCTCAGAATTGTAACTTTCTGACATTTGAGTTTAAAATAAGAATACTAAAAAAATTTTTTTTAAAAGTCAGAACCCAAACATTTTTTTTTTCAGTGGCCCTAATCCCCTTCCGTATAACACAGATACAACAATACTGATATAATGTTGATCGGCCAAAATTAATAATTAATAACATTAATAGTAATAATAGCTAAATGCATTAAAGATGTATTGCTTATCTCGCTCTCTTCCTAGATGGATTCATAAAGAAGCCCTGAATATGAGTCAAACAGGGGTTCACTGTTTCTGGGGTTTATTTCAGCAACCATTGTCTCGCTATTGCTATTTATTGCAGCATGACACATGGGAAAAGACTGCCACATACTTGTTTTTCACTGTGATCAACTTTCTGTGTCCACAGCCACAAAGCTACAAACAAACAAACAACGTTACCTGACAGATAATCATTACAGTCATTCATCTCTGAGTTGGTAAAGCTACTCTGGAAATAATCTGTAAGTACATCACAAGTCTCGTTTACTACTCTGTGTAATCACGTCACCCACATACCTTCCTCAACTAAGCAGGAAATGACACAAGCTAATACTGTATAGCCAATTTTAGAATTGGATTAAAACATTAGAACCAATATTTAGTATCCAGAGTTAAATGTACACTTCTCTTGAGGAACAAAATCCCAACGATTTGATGGTCGAATAAAGCAAAGCCTTTGATGTCTCCTATACAAAGATACTGCTGCTGCTTGTCATGAATAACTAACCTGATGGCTAAGGCTCCAAACTTCTCTGATTCCACGCGATCCTAGCAGCTAGATGAAGAACAAGCGGTTTGAGCCTGAGGGAACACCAACAGATGCTGCCCAGCTCCAGATGCCGTTGTGTGCCTCTTATCATAACAAGAGTCACATGACCTGACCTTCACTATCTGGACAGCAGGGGAGGGGGGGGGGGGGAGAGAAAAGGACTTATCAGAGCTTTGTGGGGGGTCCGAGCCATGTACAGCATTAATAACAACACAGACACCGCCCATCAGACAGACACACAAGAACAACACGGGGGCCATCTGGAGCTGAGGAGGACCCCCCCCCCTGCTTCATTAAAAGATCAACAGAGTAACCCTGTCAGTGATCTGTCGAGCTGTGCAAGAGATAAGCTCCTGTAAATGGAGGGATGTGCATCCTTGGACAACTTGAGTATTATCACACAGTCACAGCTAAGAGTTGCTGAGAAGCTGAAACGTTTCACCGGCAACGTTCTTAATTTTTCTTTTTAAATTTAAATTTAATTGTACTGTGTTCACTTTTTTGTCTGCAATCTTTGCTCTTTGCTGCTGTAACAATGTAAATTTCCCCATCGTGGGATAAATAAAGGATTATCTTATCTTAAGCATATTTGCAAAAGAGAAGGAAAAAAAAATGGTACAAAGGCTAAAACTAGATATTATCTTTTCAGTTCTTCTGGAGAACACAGGGATAATGTGCAGCGTAGTATCAAGGAACTTGACTTTAAAACCTTAAATGACATCAATGTAAACAAGCATATAAAATGATTCTGAAAAAAACAATTAAAAGAAGCTGGAAATCTTAAATGTTGACCTTCATGATGAACTGATCAGGAAATGTGCGTTTCTTTAAAATGACTGCTTGATAAAATCACCTCTGGTTGACTTTTCTTGTCTTGAATATCTTAACTGTAGAGCCTGTATTTTGACAACAACAACTTGAGGATGTCCATGTTAGATTTTTTTTTTTTTTTAAATATATATATCTACAGAAAAGAGAAAATCATCCACATCAGTCAGCTGGAGACCATTACTGTATGTGCAAACATGCTGGGCTATCAATACCCCTAAGAGAGTCAAATACCAGTGTTCAACCAGACTGACCATCCCAGGTAGGTTACATCACTGTCTTTTTAAATTCACTTTTAATTCTCCTGTTGTGACTTCACTTCCATCTCATAACATAGTGGCCTCTTGATCAACTCATGGTGAAAACAAAATAGTCTCCACGACAATCACATTTACTTATTTCAACACAATCAAAAACAATTAGACCGTTAAAGTCAAGACCAGATGGGACAATAACAGTTTCCTCGACGTGCTGAAAAAAAAAACCTGCGCTACTGTGTTAATTAAATTAAAAACTGAGTATTGTAACGCTGACAGTCAACTTTAGAAAGCTTATTTGTCATGAACGCACACATTTAACAGGGAAGCGAGTTTCAGCCCGTCGTCTGAGCTAACACACAAACAGCTAGCGTTAGCCTCATCTGTCAAAAGATACAGATGTTGTGCAGGAGTCGAGGATGCCAGCGCGACGGAGTAATGTCCATGGTGATTACGCACGATATCAAAGCCATACGACGACAAATGCAACCTGTAAGAAAAAGAGAAACCAGTCTTGCCTTACGTGTTAGTTAGGCCTGTGAGGTTCCTTCTCCTTCTTCAGCTGCGATGAAAGTCTGAACATCGACAGCTAAGCTAGCGGACTGATAACCGATGTTGTGATGGACCAATCCAGCGGAGCACAGCAGGTCCCGTGCCTTATATTGGAGGAAGTGTTAGGACCGACCGGGCAGTGTGGAAATCTCACTAAATCTACCTCATGTGCTTTGAAAAAAACAAACAAACGCCTAATTCGTGGATGAGGACTGGGCTACCCTTTTGTTATCTCTTTCCTTTCACTCACGACCTCAAAAATATAACAGAGAGGGGATTTCGGCAACACGCACGGTGGCTGGCTGGCGCCCCCCTGTGGTGTGTGGGAGAGTTGCACTATGGAATATACAGGCTTGTGCTCCGGGGCTGCAGTTGGATAGTAGTGGCTGTTTAACAGTCTATGGAAGCAGAGTTTAATCCAAATGAGTAAAATAAGTAATAGTTATCTACTTTATACCTCTGCCTCCCCACAGGTGACAGATATGGGCATGTAATCCTGTAATGCTACAGTGTTTGTTTTTTTAATAACAATAACTCTTTCCAGTGTAGTTACTGTGTAATTTCACATTATTGTATTTTCTTTTATTTAACTGATGTAAATATGTTTGATTTGATTTTTAATAATTATATTCCTGAATTGAGCTGCTGTAATGCACAAATTTCCCCCACTGGGATCAATAAAGTTTATCTTGTAATGGTTGGCATGGTTTTTTTCAAAATTGTCAAACTGCCAATAAATCAAAAAAAGTGCACTTTACTTCTGAATATGGTGACTTAATCGTTCTCTTGCGACGTATCTTGTTACACGAACTATAGATTTTTGCAAAAATGGTAACTTGAGTGACACAGGGAAATTTTGTAACTTCTAGATAATGATCATATAAGAAATTGAAGTATGCATCATCACACTAAGATATACATTATGAAGAATCCAGCTGGCTCTGATATTGAAATTATCTAAATTTAAGAAGGCTTTGTTAAGATCAAGTTAATCCAAGCTTGAAAAAAAAAAAAAATGTAGGTCAACAAAATAAGTTAGGAATGTTAACAAGAGGACAGGCGTCTTCAAATCGAATGTTTATTTTCATAAAAAAATGAAATTAAAGAAACATACTGGAAAGCATAACATTGCAAACAATACCCAAGATTTCCAATCCAAAAGACAAAAAAAAAAAAACCCATAGGACTATACAAAACAATATTTTTGACAAAGCTTGAGGAGTTATCGCCTCTTCTGGAAGATGTTGCCTCTTCCCATTCCTCCACGACCCCGACCCCTTGCAGCCACTGAAAGGAGAAAAAAAAAACACATTTTAGAAAACTATGACAATATAATACTGAGACATTCAAAAAGACAATTTTGAGACAAGATGAAACTGTTTTAAAAGTTTAGTTACATCCTATAGTTAAGCAGAATTCATATTCAGTAACTAGTCCCAGCAGAAATATTTAATTTAATCCATGCCTTGGTGAGAGGGTGCCAACTCTCTTCACATGCCCCTCAGTTATTGTGTCCACACTACCCATAAAACATGTCAGGGAATGTCCCTACAAGCTGGAACATAATAGTAAGTTGTGACAAGAAACCTAGTATATCAAGTGCAACAGTAGGGACTTCACTTACATCTTACCTGTGCAAGTAGGGCTTCCTGACAAAAATAATCTCTCGTATTTGAACAGTCACACATATCACTTACTGTAAATCTCTGTGGTAGAAAATATAAAAAGGCTGTTTGGCAGTGTGCTGTTCCTCCCCTCACCTGATACTGCTCGATTTACAGCAATTAGATGCTTTAAAAATAACTAACCGTATAGTGAATCTTATCTCTAAAGGCTTTGTTTCCGTTTGTAGACCGCATGGAAACGCAAGTCCTAAATTCCTACCGTTCCTTAAAATGCAAAAAACTACTCACAGGATTTAGAAGTGCAGGAATGTTATGAGGTCAACAAAAAAAAAAAAAAAACGTGTGAAAGTTCAGAGATTTAAGTGAAAACAAAAAAACAAAGAAGCCAATCACCTTGTGCTTTGAGAATAGCTGCCTTGCCCCTTCCTGCACCAGATCCCTGGTTCTTATTCTTCATACTCTTTAACATAGGAGCATTCTTTAACATGTCAGGTAAGATCAGGAATCGGATTTTGCTGCCACGGATGTAGACCTGCTCCAACTGTGCCACCCGGCCATCACGATAAGTGACTGTTATGTTTGACATCTGTGGGGACAGGAAGAAATTATGTGCTTTAAGTTACATGTAAATTAGTGAAAGTTGACCCGAAAACACAGCACAACATCAGATGTCTATAATAGGTGGATCACATTCCTGGTTTTTAATGGCGCTTCAGCGTTGCTTACATTTCCTTCCATCTAAACAGGGTCTGAATTTTAATCCCAGATGCAAGGTTGTGCAATAACACACTGCATCAGATAGGAGAGTTTGCACACCATATATTGACTAAATTCCAAGTAAGACAATACAGTATGTCTCCTCTTCCCTGGTTAGTCATGGTCACATCTTCAAATCAATCAAACTTTATTTATATAGCACCTTTCAGACAAATTAAATTGCAATTCAAAGTGCTTAAGAGTGCAGTAAAGTGGTTGACAAAAAGTAGTTTATAAAATCATTGATAAAAAAAATAAAATAATGCACACCAATAAGAATTTAAAAATATGTATAAAAATAAAAGAAAATACGACACATAAATGCAACAAGATATTAAAATAAATACATAGGAGGAAAACATTTAAAATTGTAGTAGGATAAAAAAAAAGACAATACAGTAATGTTAAGATTTGAATTGATATAAAACACTATATACAAGCCAGACTGAATAAATGAGTACTTTCTAAATGAGCAGAAACATGGAAGAGCTTTATCATTATAAAAACTTACCTGGCAGTTCATGTTGTCCTCAGCCTCGATCAGCTTTCCCCTGTACACCTCTCCAGTGTTGGTCTCACAGGTCACAATGTGTCCCTCTGCTTCATGCAGGACCTTGATGGGCACGCCGATGGACATTTTTATGTTTCTTCCTGGAAAAAAACAGACAAACAAAACATCAAGCAGCAGTACATTGAGTTACATTGAGCTGTTGTTGCCCAGTCTACCTTTTATTACATCCAGCAATTAAATGTACAGCTTGCCTGGGTAAAGTTAAACCTTCTTTAAAGATGTTTTTAAAATGACTTCACTTGGGTCAGTGAAATCTTTTAGTGTGTGTCCGTGAGAAAGCTTGATAGCATGCTACATTAGCTCTGAACCTTGTTTCCTTGCGAGTTTTAAGCATTTGTGCATTAAAAAAAAAAGTTTGAATGGTTTAATCACAGAATTCCTTGACCAATATTGAGATGCAGTGTTTTCGAAAACATAATATAATTTAGTACACATAATCCTCGATATTTTGAGGCAGGCAGCAGAACTCAACCCGCTAGGTGAGCTAAAGTAGCTACAACACCTCCCGTGCTGAATGAATGATACACTTTTTAAAACACCACAGACAAACTCCTCTGAAACGTGAACAGCGCAGTGGCGTAACATCGTCCAATAAGTCAAAACCTTTACCTTAATTTGGCCTTAAAAATGGATCTCTTTGTTGTTTCTTCTTGGGAGACTCTGCAACGTGCGCCTGTCGCTATCGCCTACCCTTTTTGGAGCCTTTTTCCGCTTACCCACAATGCCACAGAGCGGGGGGGTCACTGAAGTACTTCCGGTTACATGCCGCAATGCATTGTGGGGCTGGTATTTTCTCAGCTCTTACTATGTAATATTGGTTGTTTCCAGAGGTTTTTATATTTGGCCTACTTTGTCAGTTTTTGAATCACACTACTGAAACGTCTGTCAGAGAAGTGAAGCTCTTACATGTTAACATCAGATGAAAGCTGACTATCAGAAACCTGCATTGGTGTTAACATTTACAGTTTATAATTGTATTCCGTGTTGAAGTCATTTAGAAATTCATGCAGTTTGGGCATACATATGAATACAAATGAACTGCCTACCGCACACATACAACAACGTCACACATGCTGTAGTCTTCATACAGACGCGTTCATCAGGGTTTCTATCATCCAATGGGCAGCAGTAGTCTGTAGGGACTTATTTTGGGAACTGGAGGGTAGCCGGTGTAAGCCCTGTTGCGGACCAAGTCTGGAAATTGGTCTGGTATCTGGAGAGTTGCCAGTTAAGAATACCGACCTCTCAACCAGCTGTAGGCAGCCCCCTCACTCTGACATCTCTCCATTGGTGCATATCCATAGGACACTGCATGTGTTTGTTATTCAGCCTCTGTGCGTGTAGCATATTCAACAACAGAGTGTAAAATTGAATTTCCTTCTCGCGGGATAAATAAAACATATCATCATCGTTTAATGTCTTCTGCAGATCCATTTTCCTGCAAAAGCCTGAGAAATGAACGAGACTCCTCAGCAAAAACACCGCTGCTTTTAAGGAACGCTCGCTCGTTTTTCTAAGAGAAGCGCACACGATAATCGCAAAACATTGTCATTCCTTTCACAGGTGATATATGACAGGATGACATCCTATAAAAGTTGCATGTGCTGTGTTTTTTTTTTTAATTCCCTTCACTCTGTCTTCATCATTGACGCCTGCTGCTGCTTTGCATGTGATTACGAAACAAATGATGGCTTCTTTGTGGTCGATTTATTACCTGCTTTGGCTTGTTTATTTGGAGGTTTCCGTTATTGCATTTAAATGTGCCAGTTATGTGACAGTCACACAATTTCCGTAACCCTTATCTCAGGCTTATCAACATAGCTCAAAAAAACAAAGCGTTAAAATGAAACGGCATTATTCAAACCACATAGTGTAATATACAACCTATATGATTAGTTTTTGAATAAACTTGATAAGCTGCGCACATACCCATGTATGTTTATTCCTGGGGACCTGACTCTGGGATTGCTTTGAGGCACGTAAATGTTGCTTAATGCAGGCCTATCCCGCAATAGAAGGACTTATAATGAGGAAAGAGAAAAGCATAATGGCATAATAAAAGACATCATCATATGAACCTTCATTTGATTTCCATTGCATTTGGCTCATTGACTGGCGTCAGCAGCCGGGCTGCTCTGTAAACACCTCGCTGAGTAGTCTGTGCTCATGTGAATGCACTTTAAGTGTGTATGGTGTGAGTGTACTTTTTTTTCTCTGCTGTCCACTTGAGCAAGGCTGACTCTGAGAGTAGCCACACAACAAGCATATCGACCGATATTTATATGGAGCAAACAAGCTCTTTGTTTTGGATGGATGGATGGTAACTGACCTGTGTATACCATATGTCTTTTGACGCATGTTTTTAGCTGTTGAACAAGCAAAACGCATGTTGCCTGGCAGTTCTGAAAACGCTGATCAAAATAGCAACAACAAATTGTATTTGCACAAAAAAAAAAAAAAAATTCTAGGATTATGCTTGCCTTAAAACAAGCTTTTGCAACCCACATTTTCAGACAGGACAGTTTTGGTACATTCAGCCTATACTTGCTTCATATGGAGTAGCATGTAGGTGTGGATAGCTTTGTCGAACAAATCTTCAGTAATAGCTGGTGGTGACTGAAATTGATTGAGATTTTTAGCAGACAGTGATCTTGCCTATAGGGAAAACAGTGAACAAGGATATATTTAAGACTTTTTAATCTCCAGGGAGCCATAAAAATACAGAGGAGCATTAAATACGTTTACCTGATGCAACATTGTCAGAAGTTGTGGTTCAAGTGTTTAAAGGTTTAAAGTGTCGCATTGCAAGAGAGCAGATCTTAAAAGCAAGGTATATGCAGTTACAAAAGCACTTTAACCAACATTCAGCCTTGAAGAAATCTTAAGCAGATTTGCTGTTGATTTGTTGAGGCTTCATTCATCATTTTAAATGCCATGTGTGGTCACAGTCATGCAGTTATATAGTTTTATGGTGAAAATTTAAATATTTCATGACACTTCTGTTAACTCTGGCGAGCATATGCACTCAGTCTGTTTGACAGAGAGAGCCTGAACATTCACAAAAGAAATGCAACTCCCTCTCTCTTTCACCTCCGACACATCGATTTTTCCACTCTCGCCTCCACCCTGAGTAGTATATCCCTTGATGCATTGCTGGCTGACTGAAAGACTGCTTCCCATTCGTTTTTGTCCATTGGGTAAACAGCTGCTCGGTACATTGTCTAACTTTGATGTCCAGGGGCAGGAGGCTACATGAGGAGATTTTGTTGGAGTCCCTTTAGGAGTGGGATCAAGCACGTAGCTATTCACTACTGTGCCACATGTTGAACCCTCTTTACTGTTACCAGAGGAAGTCCGCACGATGCTGTTGCTCCTGACACTTCTGCCATCACCATTTCCAACCCTGAAACCATGTCCGTCCCTACGTCTGAGGATGTGCTGAGACAGGATCCGCTGGAAAGTCCGTCTGAATTCTCGAATTCGGTATGCATAAATGAATGGGTTCACCACAGAGTTAGCGTGAGAAAGAATGATGGCAATATACATCACCCATTTAGGTGATCGCTCCCCGCAGTTCTCACACAGGATGTTAAAACAGTTGATGATGTGCAGGGGAAGCCAACACAGAGCAAACAAACCCACAATGATGGCTAGCGATTTGGCTGCATGCACTTCTCTCTGCAGGGTGGAGCGAGACGGGCCAGATGATGAGGTCATTTCTCCAGGTGCAGGTGCATTTGCTACTTTCAGTCCCATGAGGTGGAGCTGGCGCCGCGCAGCTAAGAAGATATTGGCGTAGATGACCAGCATGACCATCAGGGGCCCCAACACACAGCTGAAGAAGTTGAAATAGATCATGTAGTCCATGTTGACCACATTTTCAAACAGGCACTCAGTCAGGCCTTCAGGGCAGGTGTTATTTTTAGTGGTGAGATTCCAACCTGGACAGCAGAGCCAGAGGGGATTTATTTCCAGATTTTAACTTTTTTTATAATGTCAACTAAATACATTATTGTAACATTTTTGTCATACAGCTATGGCATATGGATAGTGTGCTCGTCACTTGCATGTTCTCAAGTATCTTTTGATTGTGATATATGGTCAGTGAAGTGATGTTTAGGCTTAAAGCTGGGCATATCTGCCAATGCATGCACATAAGGGAACTAAATGGATCTGCTCATGCAAAAATGTTGACAAATGCATATTTTATACTGTTTACACATTGACTAATGAAGTGCTGCATTATTGGTACAGAATACTCGCCCTATATCTGTTGTTGTTTGTAAAGTACATTACAATTTGAGGGAAGTGGAAATCAATTTGTATTTGCCTTAAATATTAGAAATCAAATTCAGATTTCCTGCTTTTTTTTTTAAACGAATGTTTAACATATTGGCAGTATCAAAACTACCCAGAAAAGATTGACATGTAAGTTGTCATAAATACGTTTTACAGGCTTGAGTTCCACACTTGGACGCATTTAAAACACATTTACCCAAGTCATTCTCCCACCTGTGTTCCATCCAAACATCGGTATCAGGCCGATGACTACTGAGAGGAACCAGCACAGCGCGATGATGCCCTTTGCCCTCTGCCCAGTCACCAGGCTGTTGTATCTGAAAGGGTGAGCAGAGGAAAGCAGGCACATCAGAGCTACATTTATTTCCACTTATCTCATAATGTTAGTATCCCTCTGTGGCAAAGTCAATATTTTGGGGATTAAAATGGAGACAATGGTGGTGCTTTCAAGCATACATGCCTTATTTATTTAAAGAACCAAAGGAAATTACAACTGTTCTTTTGTATTTTAAATGTTGCATGGCCGGATTTTTCATACACAATGACCTCATAAAGTAACGTTCTGTATGCTCTTCCTGTATTTTCTTGCATGATTCTGCAAACATTAGTGTGAGAATGTATACTGTAAATCTGCATCACAGGTTATTTCCTTCCTGTATGGTAATTTACCAGCACATACATGTCTTACTCATCTGAGACTTCTTGTCAACTCATAGATGTAAAAGATTTGTCAACCTGTTTGGTCACGAGAGAATGTCAGCACGTGGGTACGTAGGGAAATAACAAATATAACTACCAGATCACTGACTGTGGTAACAGTCAGTGAAGACTGATAACCTAAAACAAAGCGCTTAAAGACGTCACCTTTTTGATACTTTGTTTAAATTTCACCACTCAGGCTGTCTTTTTGAATCAGATGAAACTTCCTGCATTTATTTTATGTTAGGTTGTTGAATTTGTCGAAAAGAAAACTAAAGTCACATGGATGCAGGCATCACAACAAGACCTGATGAAAATGTTAAAATGGTCCTTTCAACTTTTCAATTTACTCTATTCAATATTTTTTACAATAAAATGCTTTAGGTACCTCCATGGAGTCTGTAACTAAAGAATGTATCTGCACCTTGCTTCATCCAGACAGAAGCAAAGAAGTAAAAATAGAAAATCAGCATTGAATAACTACATATTCCTGGTAACATCACCCCACCTACAACCATTGTCTCATGCGTCTGAGCTCTTTTGTGGACAGAGTGGCCGACAGCATGGCTATATAAAGCACCCTTAAACTCTGATGAATTATTAGCTCTGGTCTTTAGTGCCAGGCGGTGGTGAGCCACAAACACCCAGTTTTGAAACTGCAAATGTTGCACCTACTCAGGCTTACTACATCAAAATGTCCAGCCATGACGGGAGTAAAGTATGCAACTGTGACTGAACACCGAGTGTATTTGGTAACACACGTGAACTGTGTACGTCAATAGTGTGACAACATACCTGTTGCAGAAAGCTGCAGTTACCGGTATGTGAGCTCTGAAATGAGCATGCTGTTTGAAAGTTGTTGTATGTGATTCGGTGATGGTTTACATGGTTGAGAATGATCGAAGCCTTCAGATGGTTTAACTCCTCCAGCAGCACACGAGCTGTAACCTAATAAAGTCTGTAGAGGCATACATCTCTGTCTACACACAACCGGCCTTGATAGCGTTAATTAAATAAGATCTCTGTGTAATTCAATGTGTTCGCTGTGCCACTCTGCATGCGCTTTGGAAGCTTATGTTTAATGGTTTACACACGCACGCACGCACACACACAACCACACACAACCACACACACAACCATTCTATTGGCCCTTTTTAGTTTAATTGTTGTTTAATAGTTTAATTGCTTTTATTTTACTCTGTGGTTCCCCAACACATTTTTTAATAGGTTTGTTCCTGTCTATCCCTTGTACAAGCTCGAGTCCTCCTGTATTGTATTGTTGTCATATTTTAACATGTAAAAAAAAACGATAAATATAAAACATAAAGAAAAAAAATAGAATAGTGAGGCATCAATGTCTTTTGGGCAGTGAAAAGTGTACTTGGTTAAAGTTAAAGTTGGGTTTGCTGAAATTTCACTGTCCGGTTCCCCCCCCCTCCCCCCTCACCTGAGTGGGTTCTTGATAGCGATGTAGCGGTCCACGGCGATAGCCAGCAGGCTGAAGATGGAGCTCTGGGTGAGGATGAGGACGAAGCAAGCGATGAACAAGCAGCCGAAGAAGTTGGCACAAAAGCCGGAGCTGGTTTTTTAATGGAAAGAAAAACAGTACAGGTTATACAAATATCTATATATATACAAATTGCCTTTTTTTTTACAGTCTTGAAGCTATGCCCCTCCGAGGGCATTGCACGATTGTTGTTATTATTGCCACAAGCATATTACCTGAAAAAAGATTTTTTAGCAACTATTATGATAATGGATTGGTGGATAGTCAGGAGTACATTCCAATATCCAATACTGCTATTGAGGCAGTATTAGAGGCCACTACTGATACTGGAATTTGATTTATAACACATCGATGTTGTGAATTTTTAACAGTAAAAAATATATTAGAAAGTTATGATACCTAATTGCAATAGCGAAGGGAATTGCCAGTAGCCCCACAGCGATATCAGCCACTGCCAGAGACACCACAAAGAAGTTGGTGATGCTCTGCAGGTTGGAGTTGAGGAAGACGGCCCAGCAGACCAGGATGTTCCCGGCCACGGCCAGCAGAGCGATCACCAGCTCCAGGACAATGTAAACCAGCTGGTCACCCTCCAGCATGGTTAGTTTTTTCTCTTTTTTGCTTTCGTTGCGCTTTCATCCCACAGACTCGTCCGCTTGTCTCATGATTTTAGATGAAATACCTGCTCGCCAAACCATACACTACAACTAAAGAGAAGAGTGATTGTGTCATGGGAGGAGAATCAAGGAAGGAAGTTCCCACCACAAACATTGTGGTTGCGATGCCTGACTTCACTTGTACCTTTTTGTTTCAGACACACTGTACCAGTCTGTAAGCCTTCCTCTTTGTCTTTGCAACTTCTTGTTTAATTTAGCTGAACTTGGTCGCAGACAGGAGCAGAATATTGAGGAGAAAGTGTCTGGGAGGCTGCCAACATAGGAGTATTGGTCTGTGGAAAGAGAGAGGACAATGTCAGTGGTAGAAACTGTAGAAACTGATTACAGGAACGCACACAAGATACACACATGGGATTGAAAAGCCATCTATCTCTACAAGACAGGGGGAGAGTTTGTTTTACACACACAGGGGCAGAGAAAGAGGTCCAACAATGAACCTTTTCATTTCAGGAAAAGTTTCCCAAAACCATCCATACACTCATTATTCCCGGCACTGACATACATCCCCTGCAAAATCACAAATAATCACACAAAATATACCCCTCTACATTTCAAAGGCAATATACCAACACTGATTCACCTTACTAAGCTAGCAGTGCTGCATTTTTCAGGGTATTTAGCTAAATTCTCCTACATCGTAGGCTAAGCAGATTAACAGTGGCACAACCTTTACCTTCACAAAGGGTCTGAATGAAATGTAGGCCACGTTATTCAGGTGACTGCGACAGCTCAGAGAGTTTCCAGATCATGTCTGAAGATAAGAAACAAGGCTTATGGGATAGTGTAGACTATCTACACATTAATAATGATATCATCTTCAGTAGATAATATAAGTAAGTAGATTTTGTGTAGGAGCCTACAAATCTTGAGAAATGTGCCTGTTAGCAAAAGGCTACCAGCTAATTCTGTTACAATTCATAGTTTCATAGTTTAACATTCTTATTAGTAGGCTACAGTATCAACCAAGACTTGTATAAGCTATCACTCTTAATAACCAGACACAGATTGGAGGTGGTAGCCTACTTCTCTTTTCTGTGGGTTGATATGAAACTACAGGTGAGCGGTATTTAGCTTAGCTTAGCTTAGATGAATGTAAAGGCAAAAACTGTAGTGAAACACATAGCCCAGCTCTGTCCTTATCACAAAGCTATGAATCTACTAACACAATAAAAAGCTCATGTTGTAACACTTCATATATATTTTTTGAAACAACAACAAAATACGTTTTTTTGTTTTATAGCCACTGCCATGCTCTATTATCTACGACTGTTTTTGATGCACATACAAATGTGTCATAAAAATATCAACTAGAACATTGAAAATGTTAAACATTCTGTGGCACTGCTTTAAGGGATCCTGATTTTGTTACTTTAAGTTGATAACATTAGCAAAATGTTAAACTCTTAAAATATTTGTATATTGACTATAAGCAGGCGGTACAACCAGACTAGTGTTAACATTTAATCCTGTTTGTTTGAACTCAAATCATACAGTAGAAAACCTGCTTTACTCTTTAATCTATTAATGGAAAGAATAGGAAGCAGAAACATGTTGAAGGCGAAGGCTTTTTTTTAAGCCTATGACCTAATTCCTGCCAAGTCAATGCAGTGAGTAAGATCTGACAAGATAAGATTGAATGAACGGCAAACAAATGATTCTATGACAACACGGAAACTCTGTCACTACAGGGACAGTTCAGAGCTATTTTGTGCCCTTTACATCAGAATTAAGGGAATTTAAATAATCTTTATACAATCATAATGTAACCCAGTCTCACTGTGAATTTACCACAAAATGACCAGTTAGTTCACTTATCATCCTCTGCAGGTTATCGCTGAAAAACCCGAGTTTGCTCATTGACCTTTTGGCTATGACTCACAATGATGCTCATTTGCTTATATCGAGTAGGAGTCAAATGTTCACCCCTGTCAGCCATGAAGAGAGGGCATTTACATGATGTGAGCTGATTTACTAAAATGCAATACTAAATAAGCAAAGTTAAACCTTAAATCAGATAAATTCCATTATCTGGGGTTTCAACCTTTGTATAAACCACAAACATAATGGGCATAGTAGATCACATGTCCCTCCACAGATATGATTGAAATGTGTTGTAATTTGTTTAAATGAAGACTTTTATTCCCCACTGAGGTTTTTCTGTCCGCAGAGATTCAGACCTAGTAAGATATATTTAGGTGATACTTCATTCTAATTAACCCTTGCTTTACTTCCACTGTATTAGAAGACAGCTTGTAAAAAGAGAGAAATCGGCATACACACTGCACATTTTGGAAACTGAAGCATAAAAAAATCGTCCAGCTCTTGGGTTTAAACCCTAAAGAGGCCGCAAAGGTACACAAAAAAAAAAATGGACTAGCTTTCCCCCTTGGTTTCTAGGATCAAGCATAGGCCAGTACATGGTGAGCCTTTTTGTTTAACCTTCTTCCAGTTGGCTGCTTTGGCAGAAGGCTTCTCCCCATTATTATGACCAGGGCTAAATGTGCAGAGAGTAGCCTTGTAGGAAGTGATAAGAAAAAGCACATCCTGCTTGAGGGCATCTGCCTCTGCCCTGTCAATCAATGTCCCAGCTCAGCTCCACCAAAGTGAAAGGAAAACACAGAGAAAAGCCGCTGTATTACATTTGGCCAAAACACTGTGTGGATAACTATGGGAGTTCCTGATTCATTATTTTGGAGCTGTGTTACAGATTGGATAAAGCAGACATAAACATGATGTGAGCCAACATTGCACTGCAGTGGATGGAATAGATAAGCAATGGAAAAAACAACCTTTACCTAATGTAGTTGCTTAAATGTATCATCCTAACAAAACAACAGTATAGATAAAAGCTAACTAAACATGCCTAATAGGAACAGTGAGCTCATTCCTAATGCTTTATTTTGTACCTTTTTGTTTATTATTGATTTCAGTAAAACATCCAATTCATCAAGCCACTAACTGAAAACAGTGCTGGATAATATCCTAGCACACAAAAGCTTCAATATTTAAATAATAACCAATATATATATATATATATATATATATATATTTAATGTAACAACAACTCCTTATTTTATATATTGTAAGGCCATGGGCACTTTTAGCATCGTGAAAATAGTGAGTTGAAAGAACAAGCAAAAAAAACAACAACACTTTTCTTACCTTACTTTTCGTGTAGGTGATTTTGGATGACCACTCGGCTGCCAGAACATGTGCCACGCATTAAGAATCAAAAGGACCCCATAAAGTGAACAACTAAACCGACTTATAGTGCAAATAAATCACACAGGCGTAGAAAAGAAAGTTGTAAATCCTCCGAGGTTTGATGATGCGAGCAGAGACTGCAACAGGAAAAAAGCGTGGTCAGAAGCGCCCCACCGCCCCTAATCTCTCACTCGTGTGTTTGGGAGTAAACGAGATGGAAATAGAGAGAGAGAGAGAGAGAGAGCGATAGAGAGAGTTTTGATGGGTCTTTTCGTAAGCAGATACGTATCGATGGAAACAAACAATAACAAAGCGGAGAGCCCCCCCCCCAAAAAAAGTTATAAAATAACGCCAACTGTAGAATTCTTTTTTGGATTAAAGTTGTATACAATCGGCGAACTGCAGAGAACTATCAGCCACATCAACGCGAGGACACCTCTGCCATCATGTGTGGCTGGTTGAAAATTACGCCGTGCGTAAAAATGTGCATGACGCAAATAGAGGAAACCGTAAACTGCACTGATATTTGCACGTTATCAGTTTGTACCCCTGGAGCTACACTAAACAAGATGCTTTTGTTAAAAAAAAATACACACTGTGTGGTGCCATGGTTTATGCCACGGTGACATCTAAGGCGAGCATTCATTATGTGCATTACGAGCATCTAAATGTATTTTGCAGACGTTTGAGTAGTGCCTTGTCAATACATGCTCAATAAAAACTAGAGAAGTATGAACACTCATGTGAAACTGAGGTTTGAGGAACTCAGGCTTACACAGAGTGGTGATTCAGTTCATGTCAGCATTTGTCAGCTTGATGATTAATTGGTCCTAAATTAGATTTCCCTTTTTACAAGTTAATCATAGTTATTTAAATCCTCTTTTTTTGTTTGTTTTTTAAACATTGTCAAACAATGAAAATGTAGAACAACTGGGCTGACTTTCAATGTAGCTTTTCCTTTGAATATTTATAGGCAAGTTTACATATAAAGATCAACTGTTTTTTAAACTTAATTTCAAGTTTTTATTGTATTCATCATTTAATGTTGTATTTCAACAAGCCTGAAGCCTTGTATGTCATCATTAGCTAATGAGTTTTGATAAAGATGTGATTGATGTCAACATCAGGAATATTAAAATGAACATGTCAAATGTAATTCTGCTTGTGAATAAACTTTGTCACTATATTTGCTATGATGTATAAAAGACATAAAAGATGACAAATGTTCCAGGTTTCAACTGAAAATCTAGCATTCTGTGAGCTTTCCAATTAAAACAGAAAATCAGAGGTACTGATGGCCTGATGTTGAGCATGGTGCCCCGTGAACAGAGGCAGTTGTCCTCGAAGCAGCCGGGTTCAAATCCGGCTTGTAGCTCCTTTCCCGTATGTCATTCCCCACTCTCTCTCTCTCTCTCCCTGATTTCCGACTCTTTGCACTGTCCTGTGTCTAAAAAAAGAAAATCAATCATTCTTTAAAAAAGAAAGGAAACCAAACACTATATTATGTAGATACAAGGAGATTTTATTTAACATTTCTTGTGTACAAACATAGGCTGCAAATGCCTTCCAAACATGTTTGCCTTCAGTACTCAGTTTGCCTTCGTACAGGTCTACAGGCAGAACATTGAATATTGAACGGGAGAGAGTCCGAAAAATTGAGGGAGGTACAAAGAGAAAGTGGTCATCAAGTCTCCTCCTCAGCTTTACGTTAGATGTAAAACAAAACTAGCACATTTCCAAAGGTTAAAGGAATCTTTTCAAAGTCAGCTTGATATCATCGAACCAGCAGCACTGGGTCCTTATAATTGGAAATGGGATGAGAATTACCAGTTTCCTGTACATAATGGATGAGACTTGCAACTGTCATATAGAGCAATATGTTCCATATCTTTCCACCAAGAAATTAAACCTTTTGCTATATTTACTTTTCATGTACAGAACTAGAGGGACTGAGGTTCTGTGTGTAAAGTGTGTTATGGAGGGTACATGCAGATACACTGACAATCAACAGACCAAAACAATGCCGATTTTTAGAGCAAATATAAGACTCTTTTGTCCTCTACCACATACTGACAGCTCGGCTTTTTCCAAGAGACTACAGGCGCACCGGCTCAATCCTTTAACGCCACATTAAATAAATAAAACAGGAACCAAATAATGTACTCTCTACTATAATACATATTATACAACTCCACGGAAAAGAAAGAGACGGATGAGTTGTTTCAACTCTGAAAAAAATGGACAAGATCCTGCATCTTCTATTGATAGCTGAACAATCACAGTGGCCAGTCTGTTATGTGACTACAGAGATGAAGTAGTAGTAGTAGTAGTAGTAGTAGTAGGGGGTTGAACGTTGATGCAGTTGTACTCATCAGGTGTGTGGAAATCGAAACAAACAGTTGTAACTTCCAACAGGATAAACAAACAGTGAGAAAGAGAAATCTTCCCAAAGAAAGCCCAACCATAAAAAGACACATTTTCTAACATTTATTTAGCTTTAGATGACATTATATTGTTAATAAATAGACTGCTTAGACCTTCCTATACCAAACAGGGAAAATAAATAAGGTTAAAAGGCATTTAAAGAGCTGAAATTTTACGAGCTAAATTGAGGACGTGAGAAAGAAACCGTGTCCTTTGCCCGAATTAAGACTGACTTTGATACGGTCAGGTGAAGGTGGCAAGGAAAGTACAGTATGAGCTAAGACCATGCTTGAATTTCAGGTCCTGTCTTAGACTTACAGAGATGAAGAGTTCGTGGCTGTCCTCAGCAAAGGCAACGGGAGGCCGAGCAAGGTTAAGAGTACCACAGTCGCAAAACAAAAAAAAAGAGTGTCAATAGGCACGATAGGGTAGAGAAGTGTAGGCAATCAGGATTTGTAAATGTGACAGATAGTACATGGATTTTTTCTGTGTGCATGCTACCATAGGCCAAAGTGAGTAGAAGTACACAGTGGTAGGAGAAAATTAAAAAAAAACGACGCATAACTGTGCAGGGACTGCAGGCATGAATCCTTTCAGAATAAAAGCTTGGATTTGTAATTTATGGGGTTGACACAATAAAGGTGTTTTCTTTTCTGTTATTGTGTAAAAGAGAGTGATAGTGTCTTGACATTTCATCTGTATCCAATCAGAATACTCGTCTTGATTTTTAAGTGTAATGCCATTTTTTTTTTTTTTTGTAATAACTTGACTTTTGATAGGAGTCACAATGACTGTTATTGAGCTATATAACCCTTTAAGATATTTTAAACAAGGACGGAACCAAACACAGACCCTTATTAGATCCACTAGACTAGTCATTGGTAATACTTAATGCCGAAGATACATGTCAGAAGACAACCATTGTAATCAAATTATCGAAGTGGACATGCTCCCACTTTTTAAATCTATCCAAAAACAATAATCAGATGCTCCTTCAAACAATCGAAACAGGGTTTTCTAGCTGTAGTTCTCCCGTTCTTCTGCCTTATCTAAACCACTTCAGCAACCAAACTCCTGCTTCTTATGTAATGTATTCAAATGTATGCAAATGTTTTATGTGTGTGCAATAGGCAGCTATTACTGACTTCTGTTTTTAAGAATGATTCAGCAAACTGCAAACTTATCCAGTAAATTGGTTAAAAAAGAATGGTCATGCCTTAATTGTGTAAACCAGAAACTCTCAATTTACAAACATCCTAAAGCCTATGATGAAAATATTTGTGAATAAAGACAGCAATACAAAAGCAATTATGAAAAAGAAAAAAAAAATCTAAATAAAACATGCCTGCATGTTCGATCAGGGACACAGAAATTAAAAAAGAGAAACGTGTCATTTAGGAAACAACAAAATATTTTAAGAGCTTTCCTTTAAATTTGCTATTGAGTTAGACACCATCAGGTTCGTCAGGATGTAGAACAGTTAAAGAGACATTAATTTGACTTTTATATGCATGAGATTAAAAAAAGAAAAAGCAAGTAGAAGATCAAACAAAATCCTATTCCTTCATTAAATCCAACAGATATGCTCTTGTACATTACCGCCGAGTGCTCAGGTCACTTGAATTGTGATACAGTAGTTCTAACAATGCATGAGTGCGATTCTGCAGCCACAGATTAAATGGTATAAAAAAAGAGACTATGTCATATGTGTGTTTTTGTGTGTGTGCTGTATTATGACATTGCATAATGTCTACACTAGACAGGCGGTGGTCTCTGGATGTGAGACGCTCTGCTCACCAACAACCCAGCAGTTAAAGAGCTTGTGCCTTTTTTTCCCCCCGCAGCAGCATAGAGTCTGTAACTACAACGTGTGTTCTTGATTATATCTAAATGAATTATTGATAGGCTGGACAGTACAGCTGAGTAGTTTCTGTAAGAACAAGGCTAAATCCTGCTTATTTACTGCAAGACTTGAAGTCAAGGCTAAGACCTACCACTTTCTTAATCAAACACATAGAAAAACAAAACAGATTTGTCCCCACAAAGGCCCCGGAAATAAATTATAACAATAGCATTAATGATTATACTGTTAACTTAAAGACAAAAAATACAACTTTAAGTTTATGTACATACTGTATATGTCAATACAGCAGCTTCCTTTGCTCCGAGAAACAAATAGCATATTAATTTTGGCAAGATGTCCTATGTTACAATAAGCAGGACATTTTGTCAGCACGGATATGACCACAGACAACTCCTATGTTAGAAAATATATTGCTTCCTGGATATTTAAGATGGAGACTAACTTCAGATACAAACAACACGAACAGAGGAATTTTGCTTTCATGGTCAGGTTCCTTCCTTTTTTTTTTCCCGTGCAGTCCTTCCTTTACGCTTTAGGGGTTTGTCTCTGACACTCACTGGGGGTTTGTTTACGTTGTAAACACTTAGATGAACACGTGTTGGCTCTCCACAAAAAAAGAAAGAAAAACAAAGCCACTGTTGTTGCAGCTCTAGGTGTTCTTCTTTAGCTAACATCATAAAGTCTCCTCTTTGTCTCTTTCAGGATCGTTGCGCTGAGATGATGTGTTTGAATTGTCCTCATCAGGATGTGACGTTTGAGATGGATAAACATATCTGACGATTTTCCCAAACAAACAAAGATGGGGAACAATCCCTCCAAAAAAAGAGAGATAGACACTTGGATTTGTTGGCAAAACTTATTCAAGAATCCAGAAAGTTTGGTCTTTTACAAACTGATTTTGACAATTTCTTGATTTATAAACCACTCTATCGTTAGAAGTTCAGGGTTTAGACCAACAAAGAAGAAGGGGGAGAAATGAAGAAGGCAGATGTATCCAAACATCAGGTAGTGACAGATAAGAACTCTAAGGACTTCACTTCCTTTTAGCTTCAGAGGCCCAATGGCGCCCCCTTGTGGTTGAGGGAGCAGGAATCGCCAGTGACAATCTGTTCCAGCTGCAGGAGCCTAAGTGAATCTGATAAGTCAATTCAAAAACCTACTAATACAGGCTCACTTTGAGCCACAGTTTTGTCTCTTTCACTCCTTCAGCGTCTCAATCTGAGGTCAGCAGAGTCCGTCTTTGCTTTATACTTCAGTGGAGAAGAGGATGCTCTGCCGTTTACTATCCGGGGTGGGGATGGTCTCCAGTTGGAGGAAATACAGCAACACCTGGACCTGGAAGGAAACGAGAGTTGGAAGAGTCAAAAGTTTGCCAAATAAAAATTACATTTATGTTAACTTTGGTTTAAAAAGGACATATTATACGCCTTTTCCACCTTTTCAAACAGTCCCCTGTGGTCTAAATGAAACATATGTGCTATTCTTTGGTCAAAATACAACATGAGTCAAGCACCAGAGGAGGTTTGTGACCCTGTATAAAACAGCTCTCTCAAAATGCTCTGTTTTGGTGTGTGTGTCTCTTTAAATGCAATGAGCCCCCCCTGAGTTTTCACGGTAGACATCACTCCTCTGTAGCAGGAGGAAAAATGTCGGACCTGCATTTGTTCTAGGCCAGGGGTGGAGATACCAGGGGAGGGGAGGGGATTTTTTTTTTACCAGAATCCAGCTTGTGACATCACAAGCTGTATATGTATTCAAAAACACTGTAAAAGTAATTTTTTTTCATATTATGTCCCCTTTCAGATGTTACATTCCCATGTAAGATCTGTGTGGCTCACCTGTGCCATGACTTCCAGGGACCAGCTGTCTCCCATACTGATGGGTTGGGTGGGGTTAGTGGGGATCTTGCTGTCCTTCTCAGAAGGCCTCAGCAAGGTCGGCCCAAACACGGTAGCCAGGTTGTGGAGAGACATCTTGTTGACACTTTCCTTCTCTGCCACCCTAAGGAGAGAAAAAAAAAACAGGTCAGCTAAGTAGAAAACAAGAGCATGGAGGTGATGTTAATGCGCGGTGATGGATCTGAGTGTTATGTGTGGAACCCTGGCATTCACAAGATTCTATTTGTGGTGAAATGATTCATGATAAAGTCTGCCGAGAGAGCGTGTGGACATTAGTTTCATCGTTAAAGTTATTTACCTCTCTGGTCCTCATAGCTGTAGAAATACATTTCAATGACAGGATAGGTATCATTGCATTATGTCATACCTATATACTGATTATAATTACATTATTATATTACCTTATTATTCTACTCTTCCTGTGCTTCCTCGGTAAGTGTGCCCATCACTGCACATTTATAGCTCTTTTTCTTATAATTAGGGTGAGATTGAACCCTGCGTAGTATATCACAAACTCATGTAATGCTTTGAAACACGTGTATCTGCCTTGTAAGTGCTGTCATTATGTTCAAGCCTCTTGTCTTTAAATGTCACCATGGTAACCAGAAGACACATTGCTCCAGCATCTAAATGCCATTCCACCTGCTAGTACCTACTTTTGTCCTTGGTAGTATAAAAGCAGCATGAAAGAAATGAGCTAATAAAGCAAATATGTACTCGGAAACATTTTGTAGTGTTTCATGTAAAAATATTATTAGCTGTAACAGTTGCTGCTTTGACATATACATATATATATATATATATATATATAAAAAGTTAAATAACATACGGACAGGAAAAAAGAATGAAAATCTATCCAGGACAATAAGAGCTATTTGCAGCTTGCTGTTGTGCATGTACCTATTGTATTTGTCCTGTCAATGCATGTGAACATTCATGGCTGCATATTGCGCAAGCACAAGTGTGTCTTTACTTGTTCCTACCTCTTCAGGTGATCCAAAAGGAAAAGGAATGTGACCAGGTTGGGTTCTGGCAGTGACAGCAGTAGGTTCAGCATACAGCTCTCTTTGGCAACACTGTCAGACAGAGCTGTGCAGAACGAAAGGAATAGAGTTTTTTTATTATTTTTTTTTACATATCCTCCAAACTAAGGACTTTCCTTTTAGATATTTGAAAGTTGCATCTATTATGATCAAATTAGCAGTGTTGGAAATGGACTTACTGATGCCGCCTGCAAAATTAGGGTAGAGCTCATCAGTGAAGAGCGGTTCTGGCAGCTCTCTGAAGTACAGCTTCAAGGTCCCGGCGATGGCATTCACGTCCATCTCACTCATCATCACTGACACATCTTTATTGTCTGCAGAAGAGACACGATAACAGCATGAAGACAAGGAATGAGGACGATGATGATGAGACAGGGAAACACCTCAGCTCAAGCAGCGATTACCATGCATCTTATTTTTCTGATTCTTGGTGAAATACATGCGCTCCACACAAAATAGTCCCATTGAAGACATACCGTAAAACTTAAATTAATCGCATAAGCTTTCATTTCTGCTTCAGTCTATGAAATAGGGGCATAATATCAGGAGCTGCCTTTATTTGTCAAATCGTACAGCAACACCAGGCTAGTAAAAGGGACTGGGCCTTAAATTGGGATGAGCTTCTATTTGAAGTTTTACGGTACACAAAATGCAAATGCAAGGTCATAACAAATTAGTTCAGATATCTGGTTAATAGGTTCATGTCAGGGATAATGCCTCGTGTTAAAAAAACTCAGAAAAACAAAGCGGAAGTATTGATTAACTGACCCTTCTTAGCATACCTTTACAATAATGAAAATATCTGTATGATTCTGTCATAATTTTGGAGCTTGAAGAATCCCCGCATGAAAACCGGACATAAATATTGAGGATCTAAACCATTCTTTGTTTACATTTTACACAGGTGGCAATTAAATAACACATTTCTTAAAGCTTTATACATAAACCTGCACAATGAATATGTTTTTATATCGATAAAGGCAGCATGTATGTACTCACTGGTGTCAAAGGCAGTCTTCAAGGCCTGAATGTCAGTGGCCACCCCTGATACTCTGTAGATGCCCACCTCCTCCATACCCCTCCTCTCTATCTCCTCTAGGCACTGCCGGACAATGTAGGGCACCTTGGAGCGCTCCCGCCTGGATGGACACAGACAGTAATGATTACAACAAGCAGTTTATGTGGCGTAAAACACTTGCCAGCATTAATGTGGAATGATTAAAGAGCCACTAAACATTTTGTTTAGACCAAAGGACAAAATGAACAAGAGTGTTTTTTTCTTTCTTGTGATTCCTTGAAGGGCTAATAATGCCTCTGGCTTGTGCTTTCTGCGGAAATGTTTTATTCACTGTGCTAATGAATTGTTGCTGGTAAATCTCGTTAACCCAATTGTTATCTTCAATCCTCGTTAATGTCACTCATAAGTGCAAAACAACAAACAGCACAGCAATCTTTCTGCTAACTTCTTTCCTCCCATTCTTAAAAACTGTCTCCCTTATTCCTTATTTAGACTCTAACTCAAAATAGTTGATGTGAGAAATGATTCACAAAAAATAGTAAGCACTTTTCCTCCTCACAGGAAAATTAAGGTTCCTGGTTCAAATTCCTTGCTGGATTGGAACCTTTTCGTGTGCATGTTCTAATCATGCATGCGTGGGTTCTCTCCCTGTACTACAGCTTCCTCCCACACTAAAACAAAATGCTGGTTAGATTGAGCACGAACGGTTCTTTGTCTCTATGTCAGCCCTGTTACTGACTGGTGACCAGTCCAAAGTGTACCCCCCATTTCGCCCAATGACAGCTGGGATTAGCTCCAGCCTCAAAACGACCCCAAACAAGATAAGTCAATGAATGAATGGAAGATACTGAACCCCAAACTGCTCCCAGAAGCCTTAAGTGTGAGAGAGTGTGAGAATTTGTTGGTATGACTAGCTGCATCACAATGTTATGAGCATGTTGTGTTAAAGTGGGTGAATGTGACATTTAGTGTAAAGCACTTTAAGTGGTTGGAGGACTTTATCAATGCAGCCCATTTAGCATTACTCTTAATATTCAAAATACCTGAAGACTTTTAATACGTTTTATAAATGTTCAAAAAGATGCTGAAGTCTGGATGAGGTGTCTAGAGAAGGCCTGTTCTATCATGGATCAGAATGGAACACTTGCAAGATTAGTTAATGAACACAAGAAGAGGAGACCTAGAATAGAGCTCTGAGGAACACCATTGGAGCAAAAAAACAGTCAAGCTACAAGCATAATTATAAAGATCATTTCTCTAAAATGAGGTATCTCCTTTGTGTTAAAACGTCAACTCACCTGGTCACTGTGGAGATCTTGACTCCGAAAACACCCATGGGCTTCCGTGAGGGCATCCTCTTCAGGCTGAACTCTCGGGTGGTGAACTTTATGGAAAGTTTCACCTCAATCTGACACAGGAAGAAAGAGCTTACAGTTGAGGCAGGTTTACAAAGTGGGAAGCCCATCTAGGAGCCTGAAATCCATCCATATAGCTGTTCAGGATCTGGAGGATATTGTGCCATGTTAAAGCCAGATAAGGACTTCACAGAGAAATCAAACGCTGAACACTTCCTGGAGAAGTCTTTGTGAATATTTCACTCTGCTTTGAGCTACTGCCGATTAAACATTAGACTATTGGTGCTACATATTTAGTGGACACAATGAAATCAGTAAAGCTTTAAAACATACAGGGAGTATATACTGTACAGTGACGCTAAACAGAAAATATACTTTGATAATAGTATATTTAATGAAATGTACTCACCCCATTCATTGGAATAACTGTTCTCTGCCAGTCTTTGCCTTCCAGGGCCTGAGGGTCCAGCTGGATAATAGACAAGGACAGCACAATAGGTATGACAATAATTGAAAATTCATTTTTTTATTCAAATGTTTGCAATATTAAACTTTGACTGTAGCTCATCAGTTTGCATTTTTTCAATCAAACATGTTAATCCAAATGGTCTAACTTCTTGTATTTCAATAGCTGTTCAAAATAGCCTTTAAAGAAGACATAGCCTGCACGGATAATAAAAAAGAGCAAAACATATTTTAGCAGATTTTTCCTCATCATTGCAAGACCCCTCAGATTTGTCCAGTCAAGGTCTATGTAAAGAAGGAAATCTAGCACCAAGTGTTAAGAGCTTTTATTTTGAAATCTAACATACATTTTAATTTGAATCAAGTCTTTTACTTTTAACAAAGTACTTTTAGTCTTGTTTCGTAATTTACTACAGTTAACATTAGAGCGCATATTCCACCAATACCAAAGGTGTTTCTTAGTCTGTTAGTGATCTTTATATTAAAAAATAACTTCAGGAAGGTTATAGGTTACACTATTACTTTTTTCCCATGAGTACATATATAATACCACCTCAATGAATTTTAATATTTGCTTGCTATGTTAGGATTACATCATCTTTACACACTGTTGTTCTTCTTACATACTGCCTAGATACATCCATATTGCAGAGAGTTCAGATAGAATAACATCAACAGTAGAAATCTTCCCACCGCTGTAGTGGAATGTTTTCAAATGTGGTTTTGTTATTTAGTTTCATCACTTTACTGTATTGTTCCCATATATGATGAACATTCTTATTTGTTTAAAGAGACAACATTTACACCCAAACATGCACAAACACACTCAGATCTGAAGAGACATGCCATCTGTGCCAATAAAAGCCTGGCACACAAACACACTCTGTATACTGTATCTTGTATGTTTACCTAGGCTAAGGCCCATCTGGTTGCATGCAAAGCTGGATCATGTTTCTCATAACTGAATCTTTCACTGCTGGGAGTGCTATTCGTTTTGAGCCATTTATCCACTAAGAATTATGCTCCACTGAAAACAGCGGAGCCATCGGAGAGTCTTCATGATAAATACGTTTAATATGTTAACAGTATAAAATGTTGAAGCTGTATTGACATGTGTTCAATATGCCATTAGGCCCCCTGTCATAAATGTTCATCTGATTTGCAGAACACAGACAATCTGTGGGGTTCTTTAGTGTCAGTGGCTTCTACTGAGAACAGGGAAAGCAGTTTCTGGCCCTGGATATATGAAAATCCTGCTCAGCGACTTTCTCAGCACCCTCTGCGTGGTTTGTTTTGAATGACATCATCTGTATAGAACCGATCATGTAGCAGCGTTACTGAAGGAGCCACTAGGGGGAGTGTGTGACTGTAAATCACAGTTCGGCAGAACACAAGCAAAAAGGATACTTGGATGACGTGTGAACAATTTGTTCGAGATAGGGACTGATGATCTCAATGAAAACTGCAGCAAAAAAGGCTGATATCAAAGCTAAAGGTACACCATTGTTGATTAAATTCAGATATCACTTGAAAAAAATGGTATGAGTCATCTAATTTTCTGAATGTTCATGGTTTTCACAAGTGCTAAAGGTTTTCTTGAATCAAAGAAGAGACTCTTTCTGTATGCCTGTATCCCTCTGTGTCTTGTATCTCTGCTCTCTCTCTCCCTCTCTGTTGATCTCTTGAGTGACGCTTGGCATTATAGTGCAGGCTGCCGTCGTCTTGGCAACCTGATCACCTGCTATTTATTGTCAGTTAGTCACAGACAGACTCAGGCTCAGGACATTGTCTGGGTGGGTTTGCTCTGGATTATTATGGGTTTTGGTGTTTTTGAAAGAAGCTCTTCATTGATGTTATTTCCTCATGTGTTAGGATGGCATCGTAAACCATCACAAACTCCGGGCAGCGACTTAAAGTGTCACATCATCGCTTTTTTAATATTAAAATGACACCCTCCATTTAACCTGACCCTAACCACTATTACATAACAGGCTAATTCATCTAATCAGCCATTGGTAACATCATGCCCAGTTTAAACCATTCATTGAGTAATAATTTGGATTTCATGCTCTGTAGCAGTCGCAGTGACATAACCGCCTATCGGTAATGACTCATGGTGGGTTTGCAGAAAAAGGGGGTTGACGTCATGTCATACCGGGATCTGTCCTTTCCCCATGATGCGGTCCGTGCTCTCTCCATCCTCTTTGTTCTGCTTGGTCTTGTTGTAGCACTTCTCGTAGCAGAGCAGCCTCAGGGTCTGAGAGCCCTCCAGGTCAATCTCAAATTCCTGAGGGAGAGAACACAAAAAAATCAGGTGTAGGGAAATTTGATTTTGCTAACTTTTATGCAAAAACACATTCAAGATTGAAGGACAACATCATGAGAGAGAGAGAGAGAGAGAGAGAGAGAGAGAGAGAGAGCAATAATGTCAAATGCAAAGAGAAACACTGGTTACTCCTCCAGGAAAATCAGCATCCATCTACCACCTACTTCTAAATCCATAAATCCCACCGCAGCTGACCAACTTTCCCTGTAATTATGTGCAGTACTGGAGCTCTCTACATATGGTTTGCACATCGTTCAAAGGCCCACACTGCGTCGGTTCACTTAGCATTTGGACAGATGTGAGTCATCACCAGCAGCCCCTCATTAGCTGATATTATTTCCACTTTGCTGGGCAAAAAAATCCTCGAAGAGTCTTTGGGTCCAAGAGGAAAAAACATAAACCACTGATTGTGTCTTAAAGCTCTTCTTCTTTCTGCAGTACTAACTTTCAACATCCAGCTGTGATTTTAATGAATTCATGTCTGTGAATGTATAGCTGCCTGCATGCATGTTGGTGCATTTGTGTGTGTTTGCAGGGGGCTGCAGATGCTATATAAGGGCTGACATCTTTTTCACTACCTAAAGATGGAAAGCTAGGTGATTACAGGAGCAGATGTCAGAAACAGCATAGATATGTTCTTACATGTTTTTCTAAATTGAAGCGAAATAAATATGTACGATTTAAGATTAAACTCTAATATAACAATGTCATGTTTAATTCACTAAAATCAAAGTCTGCAGGGGCATTTTTATTCTGACTGGGCAGATATATAAGACATACTCTTACCTCGTTCCATTTGGGTTCAGTGGTGTATCGATACACTCTCGTCTTCGCTTTACTCGAAAAGAAGCCGAAGGAATCCACCTCCAATGTGCAGTAGAGATCTGATAAAGAGGAGAGCCGATTGAAGAGTTACTGGGTTTGAATTGATACCCAAGTGTTTGTTTGTGAAGTAACTGAACTGACTAAATGTTCAATGTTATCCCCCCAGAAGATATAACAAACCAGCAGCTGAAGAAATACATCTTAAGAATTGACTTTCACAAACAGAAATGTAAGTGGAAAACTTAAAAGTTAAACTACTGGTTACTGATTCCAAAAATGCTCGTCCTAAACAAGAAAACAACGACACAACAGTGTTTCCCATAGCTCCATGTCACATCAAACTAATTTTGTCTAATTATCTGTATTCTCTGTTGTCTGTACGGAGGCCAAAGTCCAGTGACTCACTCAAGCTCTGTTTGAGGCCGGAGGCAGAGTGGACGATTACATTCAGGAACCCGCAGAGACCAGGGGATTCATCCTCTGGAAAAACAGTCAGTGAGCAGAGAGAGGGAAAAAAAAAAGGTTGAGGAGGGGTTAGAAAAACATGCACATCTCTGTTTGTGTTGGAGAAGAATCAGACATGGAAAAAGGGGAAAGAACAGCCCTGAAGAGTTTAAAATCTGTGGTTTAAACCTCTGCATGCCTCGTTGTAAATACAATTATTAAACATAATGAAAGGCTGCAACCTCTAGATAACTAACTTATTTAGATGTCCAGTATTCTCTCTTCAATCATGTGGCAATGTCAGACAAAAAGAAAGTCAAATGGCTTACCATCTTTATTGATACTAAGTGGAATGTGATGGACAGTCTGCAGTTTGAGGCAGGAGCTTGTCAACATTTGAAGCTCCATGGAAGTCAGCGAGGAAGTTTTTAAACCTTCAGGAAAGACAAATAAGTGCCAACTGTTAATTCTAGTCGTGCACATTCTCAAGCCTTTAGGATGTTATGTGAGAGGGAAGATTTAATCCAATGGTTGGGAGCTGGATCAGACTTTGTCTGCGGGACATTTCTGGGACACTTACATTTCTTCTGCTGTTCCTTCATTATCTCCCTCCACTCAGCGCGCTCATAGTCAGAGGAAATCAGGAAACTGTAACTCTGAACACACATACAAAAAGTAGAGGCTGTTAAATTATCATCATATATCTATGGGGAGAAACACTTGAAAAGATTCATACAGCAATCATTTCATTTTGACATGAGAAAGCACAAAACAGATTGAGCTCAATTCATGTTAGTAGAAGCAAAAGGAGAGGATACTGTGCTGGATGTGGAACAGAGGACGGCAAACAAGCAGAAATATGAGAAGAACAGATGAAATATGCATCTTACAGGGAGAGTCAGGAGGAGGAAGGTGGGGCAGAAATGTTGATTAAAATAGAGAACTCAAGTTGAATAGTGTCATCACCTTGCCACTCTTGTTGTATACTCTGAGAGGCAAGCTCGGAGACGTTAACAGAAGCAGAGACTCCTGTTCCGTCAGCTTCTTCCTGAGACGATCAATGACCTTTGAACCCTTGTTTGCTCTCTGAAAACACAAATATGGAAAATGCTTCATTATTGAGGGAAATGTGTCTCTGACTATCTGTGTCCGTACATCTATATACGTGTGCATTACCGCTACCTTCTCTCTCTGGAGCTCACTGCGGAGGTGTGAGATCTTGATCTTCATGGCGTCCAGCTCTTCATCAGGGACCTGAGGGATGGTAAGAGGCTCCGCCTCCTCTGGGCTCTGGAAGGTCAGCTCAGTCAGGGGGATGTACCACTTACTGTCATACTGCTGGTTTTTGCTGCAGTGGGAGAAGGACAGGAAATAGAGGGGGGGATGAATGATGACAGGTGAGTAAAAAAAGGACGATGTGTCAATATGAAAGGTAGATGTGAATAAATTGCAGTTATTTATTATTTAAGAATTTGATGTATTTCACTTCAAATTTGCTGAGGATGTCAAACAGTCATTTGTCTTACCCTCCGATCTGTTTCTTCAGCTTTGCGCAGAGCAGCAGATCAGTGAAGAGGAAGACGTGCCGCAGCTTTCTCGCTCCCTCCACCAACTCCACCATGAAACTGTCCCTCAGAAGCTGCCGGTTCTGTAGCAACAACAGACAGCAGTGATCGGTCAGTGACACAAAGCTGTGATTGTTGATAACACAGTAGTTGTTCATTCGTTGCTTCAGTAGTTCTATTTGGTTGGCAGGTCAAATAAGCATTGAAAGCGTGTTCAATAATAAAACAGTAACATACGAGGATTCTCTTTCGAGCTGCTGTGAGGAAACAGATTTATCCTCTTAGACAAGAAAGAAACTTGGAGGATACAAGGAAAGTATATAGGTTAGAAGAGAAGGACAGCAAAGGAATGATGTGCTTCTACTTGCTGCAGCATCCTCTTTTACATTTTCACAAAGCTAATGTGCTCAAAATGAACCAATTTTGATAAGAGGACTTTTTTTTATAAACAAAAGTGTTGATTGTTTGCATTTGATTGCATTAATTTAAAAAAAGAAACTGGCTTAACAATCCATTGCGAGCACACAGAAGAATCAATGACGTAACTATTAGAGTGAACAGTGTTGTTCAGAGCTTTGGGACACATTACTGATGTCAGACTATGTAATGAGGCATGTAATACCGTTATTTGCCAAAAGGGGGCAGTGATGCCATTTTCCAAAAAAAAGAAACCACATTCACAAGAATAGACTTGGAACGAAACGGGGAGCAAACAAAAGTCAAACCACAACTCGATAGTAAACCGTTCACTTTCACACGGTTATAAACTTGGGTTTATATGACCCACAGTAGGAAATTATAACTGTGCAAAAACTAGAGAATATATGGAGATTTCTTTAAATTAGACTGCCACAGAAAGAGATCCTGTCAAAAATGGCATATAATGATTTTAATGATGAAAATCATAACTTTGTAACATAACTCATAACAAAAACGTAATTTTGTATCTTCCATTTGGATTTGTTCTGTTACCAGAATACTTCTTGGCCAGACGTTTGCTTGATAGGATTTAAAGGACTTAAAACTTACCTAAGAGTTCATCATTACAGAGTGATCACTACCTAAAGTACAGTTTTTTTTTTACAATCTTAGCAGCAATGCCATAAAGCATGACATCACACTTTTTCAGAGCCAATCACATCCTCCTTCTCTTCTTCGTACCCTCCCCCTCCTGTCCTCTTCCTCCCCCTCTCTCCATCATAACCACACAGCTAACTGTCACCACCAGAACACACTTAAGTGGAACCCATGCTTTGTGTAGGAGAGGTTTTTAATGTGCTTTAAAAAAATAAAAAAAAGAAACCTGACAGGACATATGGTGACAAACAGAGAGATCATGCTGTTACACTCAGTGCATGATGTGGAGGTTAAACTTACAATGACACTAACAGCAGGGAGAAAATGTGCCAGAGGATTGGAAAGACACAACCCTGACAGCACGCGAAATGAAAGTAAATGGCTAAAAGAGAACGGAAAGAAGAAGAGGGCAAATAAGAGAAGCAAGTGAACCAGAGGAGCTCCCAGAGGATTGGATGTCATGCTGCAGTTTACTGTTGACACGTCACAGAAGCTGCTCCACTGCAGAGATCTGTTGTTAAGGCATTTCCTCTACTTGCTAACCCCCCCCGTCCCCCCCCAAAAGATCCTACTGTACGACAGATTCCAATCATGTTCTGAGTGCTGAAATAAGGATCTAATTGAAATCTAATTCCCACTGGTGGATGTAATTATTCATTACCAGCTAGATAATGAAGGCTGCAATAATGACAGCCAATGACGGATAACTTCCAGAACGGTTGCTTTTCTATCATCTGGTGTTTTTTATTTTAATATTGTAGGCACAAAGGACAGGATGCAACACCTATCAGAGCACACCTGATTTCACTTTTCCTCCCTTTTCCCTGAGTCGGTTTGTGTTGGATTACAGACTAAATATTCCTCATTATGAGTGTCTGTTCAGTGTGTTCAGTAAATGTTCATCATTCAGTCTCCAGCTTCAGGTTGTGGGACTTTGATGCCACAAGAAGGGCACATCTATGAAGTCTTTTTCACATGCAGCGTAATCCTCCTGAGGATATTTTTTCTTGCTAGAATATAAAACAACGCTCCGTCTTGCCTTACTTCTGTCAATCTACATGCTGTCATGTATGTCAGTCTATACTGACAGACTGTACAGTAGTTGGAGTGAGATATGGTCACACTGCTCTGCTTAGCTTTGGCATATTGAAAAAATAAAGAGGACCGGGGCTTATTATACATTCATATTAAAGTGCCAGTGGACCGCTCAGTGTGTCACAAACAAACAGTCTGACCACTGGTTCCATTTCATCCACATCCCTGTTGTAATAAGAAGTTTTAAAGATTATTATTTCAAATGTTGTGTTATTTCCATATTTCCATTTAGGGATTCAACTTTCAATAGAAAATCATTGAAAATAAACATGGATACAAGACCTTAAAGTGCTTATATGTGACCACATAAAACTAACTCTGATTCCTATTTGTTTCTCCTATTGAGCCTATTGCGTCATGAACTCAAGCAGAGTCTTTGAAAATGTTGTTGTATGAGTAAGTAGAAACAAGACTACTGTAAGTGTAAGCTGCCATGTTTGTCGCTTTGTTAGGACGTTTTGATGATGTCATCTTTGAGCTAAATGTGAGCATGCTAACAGGCACACGGCTATAAAGACAAGGATTTGTGCTCACCATGTTCAGCATTTTAGTATAGTAGCATGTTAACATTGGTATTTAAGACACAAGTACAGCTAATAATGCCTGTCACACTTCAGACTTGTTTCAGAATTCAAAAGATTTGACACTAGTTAATTTATAGTTTTATCTTTCTATTTATTTTTATTCTCCTTTCCTGTCTGTCCCTAAAAGTTTTTTTTTTTTTAATAAATGTGCCCAGTCTATTCATGTCGCCCTCCTCTCTAACTGGAGGTGACTCCATGCTTTTCCACACCCTGCGCAGCAGTGATGTAATGGTGGCACTTTGGTACTGTACCACCCGAATCACAGTGGTTTTAATTATGACACACCCACGACCACACCTAGTCGTGATGTCGGGTGTGGTCGCTGGTTTTTCACGATACCTCTGAACCCACGCAGGCCGGCACAGCTATGATTTTCCTCTTTTAAATAAAATTGTGTGTGTTCTGCATGTCAAGGCAGATGAAAATTTTAGGCTAGGCTAGGTCTTTGATTGGATTATTGAACCAAAAGTACAACAGTAGATTAAGTTGTATGTCAATACAGATGGTTCTCTCACTGACAAACTACTGACAATGATACATGCAGATTCAAAATAAGGGTCAGTTTTCCACAGTAACTAGATTAGTCTCATATTTCAGTTATGTTAACTGGACAGGAAATGACCTCTGATAAACTACACTGCCCATCAGGCCTCAGTGATAATCCTCTCCGCCATTGATCTCCTGATAAAGAGATCAAATAAAGGGAGGGATAACAGCTGGATTAAGGATTTACAGGCCTCTAACTGAGTGTGAGTGAAAGCAAGACAAGCAACTAAAACACTGCACAAAGGAATCTGCTTAGTCGGCACATTCAAATCTATTATTTAAAAACCCTAAACAAAAGGTTCCGACTCTATTTAATGAGAATTAAGAATGATCATTTTTGAATGAGGAACTCAACAGAAACAAACTATAATAATTGCAGTCTAAATAATGCTGCTTTAATGAGTTTTTAAGTGCTTCCACAGTCACAGAAACGCCTGTAGACACTTTTAATTAAAGCTTATTGTTTTATATCTGAAGCCGAGTCATATTCCAGTTAAGGCTCATTTCTACATCAGTAGTCTGACCATTTTGAAAATATGTTTGTGCTGCTGCTTTGCTCTGCTACTGGCGCCTACATCCTTAACAAACCAGCTGTCTCAGCGCATCCGATGACATTTTCTTAATATTGAACTGCCAGTAGGAGAAATGTGACTTTCTCCCGTTCTCATAATAGCTGACTGGAGCATCAGCAAAAAAAAAAAAAAAAAAAAAAAAACGTGGATGGAGAGCGGCGTGAGGCAGAGCACGCTGACGGCACAGAACACAGATTAAATATTGACCATCTCCTGGAGGAGCCTCTCTGAGAGCGTGTACCCGAGTAATGGCATGAATATACAAAAGATCTATATTTATATTTAGAATACACGCTTGAAGGGGCATGGAAGCGCTTGTGCGTGAACTTCCTCTGTATTTGTGAGTATGTGGGGACATTCTTGTGTGACGATGAAAGAAAAACGAAAGGAAAAACACACACACACACACACACACACACACACACACACACACACACACACACACACACACACACACACACACACACACACACACACACACACACACACACACACACACACACACACACACACACACACACACATACCCAGAGCATATCTTTCCCACAGGCAAACAAAGCAGAGCGAGGAGGTGAATTGAGATTTAGGCAGCGTCATCATTTGCATTTTAATTAAGCAGCTTCTGTTTGTCCCCTCCCCTCATATGGTCGGGTGAGGGCCTCTGGGGGCCACTTGTGCTGCTCTGCTCCTGCATGCCTGCACTGAATAAACCACTGGTTACAAGCTAGTATGTACACATTGGATTGACACTTCAGCATTTCCTGGAATCTCTATAGTCCAAGAGAAAACACAAGCAACCACTGTGTTCTGCTTCCTGTTAACTTGTGATACTTGACAGTTCTCTCCTTTTTTAATCATAAAAAGTGTACAAAAGAACTGAAAATTTAACGATTAATCAGAAAATACTGTGTTTTATGGTGAGATAAGATGGCTTTAAATTAAATAAATCTAACTGTATCTCCATCATATCTGTTGACATTTCTATCTAAACCATTAGTGCTATCGAGAGAACCAATTCCCTTTTTGACATCTTAAGGCACCAAAAAAAATCTTGGTGTCAATAAAGATTTTCTGAAACAATTTTTTTTTTTTTCTTCAATATTACCTATTATGATACTCAGACAAGCGTATTAACCCATATACAGTAGAGTACCCAAAGATAGTGGTTCTCAACTGGTGGGTCTGGACCCAAAAGTGGGTCGTGGAGTCATTTTCAGTGGGTTGCGAAAGCGTGCCTGAGGAAAAAAAAAAGTATAATAAATTTAATAAATTTGGTACCAGTTTGGTCATACTCAACGATACCCAACACTGTCTGCAAGGCAGTACCTGAGGCCGCTGCAGATACCTGTACTGCTATTGGATAAACTCGAGCTACAAACATGGAGTATTTTATGCAATTAAAGATATTAAAAACATCATTCAAACAAAACCCTCTCAACTTGTAAGTTCTTATAATCTTAGACGGTGTGTTATTTAGGTTCAGATTCTCAACTTTCTAGGTAACAACATCTTCTGATGACTAAAGCGAGATTTATGTTGCAGCACAGTTGGTGATTTGCAGACAGAATCCTTGAGAATATAATACACTCTGAGGTACAATATAATGAGCCCAATCGATTTCCATGCGCTGCTTTCATGTATCTACGATAAATATTTGATGACTGGTGTGGAGGTCTGGACTGATTGGGATGGAACTGGGGCCTGTGGGGATAGGAGGGAACGTATGTGTGCATGTGTCATTCTGTGTGTGTGTGTGTGTGTGTGTGTGTGTGTGTGTGTGTGTGTGTGTGTGTGTGTGTGTGTGTGTGTGTGTGTGTGTGTGTGTACGTTCAAAGGCAAACAAGAGGAAGAGAAAAAGAGATGGGGTGAGCGGAACAGAGAGTAGGAAAGTGTGTGTTACGTGTGTGCGCATGGAAAGGGTGCAGTAATGACCCCCCTGTGAGCAGAGGGAGGAGCTGGATCGGCCCTTTTCGCTCGTTCACTCCCACCCTCCGTTTATGAATAATTAACTCTGAATCCGCCAGTCAGAGCAGACTGTTGGCTCATTACAAAGCAATATGTACGGCAGTGTCACACGAGCTATCAATCAAGAGGCAACCATTCATGTGCGTCAAGTCATCTCCGGGGGACAGAGACAATGGGGGGTAGTGTATGTGTGTGTTTATGTGTGTGTGTGTGTGTGTGTGTGTGTGTGTGTGTGTGTGAATGTGTGTGTGTTTGCGTTAGGGGAGACGGAGGGATGGGAGGCCACAAGAGACGCGCTGAACAAACAGAGAATCACCCTCAGCTAGGCAACCCTGGTATGTCCATATATGGGCATGAGGCTCTGCTTTAGGCTGCTGACTGGCGGCCCCTATACGCTCATTTGGCACTGACTTCAAGGGCATTTAGAGGGCGGGGTCATGACATCATGAGAACATGATGCTCAACATCAAAGCTGGAAAGAGTTAAACTAAAGGACAAAGACTATAATCTGCATCTCAAATGTATATGTTATGTCATTTTAAAGATAACATGTTTTATCCTTATACAACATTTAATAAATATGTTGTGACCCACAATGACAAGGGAAGGAAAGGATATATCATTTATATCATATCTGCTGTTTAACTTTTTGAGGTATGTCTTCTTATAACCTTAAACCACTTTATTGTATCCAAATAAAACATACGAATAGGGTATAAACAGGTTGTGGCTCATTTCAGTGATTAACTGTGAACGCTCACCTCTCCTTTCTTGACGGTCACAGACTGCCGTCTGGGCGTTGACTCCTCGTTGATGCTGGACAAGAAGTTCTGGGAGATCCGTAAGGCGTCCTGCAGAAGAGGGTGGTCCGGGTGACTAGTGGGCGTGTGTTTGAGTAGGTCCTGATGAAAACAGCAGTAGATTGAGAATGATGAATTTCAAAAGCATAGAAATGTGCACTTTGGAAAAAAAACATTTACTACGATCTAGGACTTTAGGTAACAGCAGGGTCGGTATTAATTTCTGTTAGTCAAGTATTCTCTTTTCTTCTCTTTTTAGATGTTTGATACATTAACAGTTTCATCATCTTAAAACTTTTACATTTTGTCTTTAGTGCATCAACTACATAAAAAGCCACATATATAATATTATTCAGCATTACAATCAAAGTAGTTTCTTTGTAGAGATGTGGGTTAGATACTGATAGATAAAGGCATAATAAGCCCAAAAATATAGCTTAAAAAAAGCCATCTGTAACACAAAACAAAGCTGCAGGTTGTGTGTTTATTATCTGCTGTGTCGTGACTTTCAGGATTCATTTGCAAGAGAGAGCTGCAATTACTAAAACCCGACAGAACCCGACTGTGATGTGACATTATTGAGCTGTGTCAGTGTGACTTACATGAAGTACCAATGTGCTGCGAGTCACTCTGTCCACTGGTTTATACAGCAAAGCTGCATGGGAAAAAGGAGAAAACCATACCACCAAAATGAGTATATGACTGGATGCAATAATACACAGGGAACAAATATTATAATGTATGCTTTATTTCAACGTTTTCATATAAATAAGTAAAAACCAGCAGATGTGACTGACCCTCTAGAGAGTTCTTGGCTGTCTGGTCCTTCGAGTCCTTGGGGCTCCTCACCTTCAGGTTCTGTTGGGAGAAGAAAAAAATTGGAGACCCCTTTAAAAAAAAAAAAAAAAAGGGCCTTTGAAAACCACTTTACAACTGTATATCATATCAAAACACAGTGAGGGCTATTATCCTTGCTCCAACACTGAGGTCATCCACTTCCAAATTAATTATGCCAACCTCAGCAGTTTTTTTCCCCCCACCATCTCGCTCAGATGGCTGAGAGTCATGCATCATTACTTAGACCATTAACAACCCCACGATGATGAATTCCCCGTTCTGCGTGTAGACACCAGCTTCAACACTAACTGGGAGATCTCATAAAACATGGACGAAGACTGAGGGTTTAACAGAAACAGCCGCATGCCTGAAAGAAGTAGCTGTCAGACCTCTGAAGGTGCTGCAAACACCAGGCTTAATTCTTACTATGTTAACCCTCAGGTAATCATTTAAGAGCTGCAAATGTGCTCCGTTCTTGTGGCTGACAGACAAACGGAAAAATCCCAAAATGTATGAAGTGAGCTGTTTAGCTGCTTGAACCAGGATTATTTCGCTTAATTAACCTCCAAACCTAGATTCAAGGCATGTGTTTTTAAATCAAGTTCTTTCCATAAAGGAACAAAAAAAGATTTCACGAGAAGATAAACACATTTTTTGCACTGTCACGCCTCATCTATGTTTCCTTAGTAACGACAATAAGAGGGGTGATGGGGGCCTAGTGGTTAGTGCGCACGCCCCATGTACACAGGATGTTGTCATTGAAGCGGGCCGCCCGAGTTTGAATCCAGCCTGTGGCTCCTTTCCAACACGTCATTCCCCACACTCTTGTGACAACAAAAATCCTCACATGGGCACACACATGCAAAGAATTGCCTCTAGCTGTGTTAGCGTAGAAATAGTCAGTGGTACAGTTCATTCAAATTTAAATGTAGGGAAATGATGAAAGCTGCGTGGGTGAATAATGGGAGAGCGTTTTGCATGTAGAGTGCACCAAGAACAAAACTGTTGAGCAGCTGCAAAATGAGAAATCTCAGGAACTGTTCCCTTCTCTGATAACACATCACTTATTACACTGTTGAAGGAGACTTGTCTTGTGTCTGCTCACAAACTGCCCAGCTGCAGCGACGGCAGGAAGGACACTTTAAACATCTTTTAAATATACAGCAACAAGAAAAAACACACACCTGTGGTATGATAATGGTGTAATACTAAATTATTAGATAAGTGAACAGGAAATGATATGAACTAGAATTTGAAGAACAAAAAGTTGAACACAAACAAAGTGTGTGTGCAGGATGAAGATATCGCCAAACAGACTCTCATCTTTAAAGTGGTTGCATGATTTAAGGGGGTTTAAAGATGTATTGTTAAACTGTTCAAATCACTGACTGCAGTGATAAATGTTCAACTAAACATGTACTTACTTTTATCTTAACACGATACAGAGGGGAAAGGAGAACAGCTTGTGAAACCCAATTGGATAATTTGCTGGTATGCGGGGGGTTAAGTGTCTAAGTGACTGATTTTACATGGTGGTAAAATGATCCCATAACTCACAGAGATCACGGCTCCAACCGCAGGCTGCAACAAGCTTTGACAGAACCTGAACCAGTAACTATCACCTCTCCGTCCAGCTCTCTTATCCCCTCCTTAACTTTCAATAACAACCAAAACACTTATCCATTACCTGATCAGTGTTTTCATCAACTCTTTTTCTTACCTCTGAGATTTCAGCAAACTGTGTGTTAGCCTGGCAGCACTTCTCCGCCGTCTCCACGGCCAGCTCGTAGTTGTCCAAAAAGGCTCTGTAAACTCCAAGCTGGCTGGCCTGATGTAGAGGAAGAAGAAGGAAAAAGGGAAGATGTTGAAATGTTTGAGAGAGAGATGCTCTGCTGCATCCACTGTTTGAAAGCAAATAAAGTTTTGAACATAGAAAGAGTCGTCTTTAAAAACAATATGAGCTTCTTGACAGTAGAAAAGCATAACTGACAAACAGCATCTGCTATCCTCTCACACAGAGCAGCTCATTGTAGAGACTGTCAATGGAAACCACCAAATGGTCTTTCAGCCAGAAGCATCTTAACACACTCAACACAACAAGAGTCCTCTTCACTGCTTCCTTTTTTTAGACTGTAACCACTTCATTCATTAACTTGACATTACATGTAACCCTGGTGCAGCTCTACATTACTCTAATTACAAATCATAGGCCATTCATGAAATTAATTGGGAAGAACTGGCTCAAGTGAAGTGTCATGTTGGTGGGATCTCCACACATTTTTTTTTGTTTCATTTCCCCCCAAACGACTTATGCCAAAAAAAAGAGAGAAGAAAACAAATAAATGCAGGGCAATATTATCAACCTTTAAAGACTGTGTCTGAACTGTTGGTAAACCTACATTTTAAGACATTGTAAAAGGGGGTAAGTTAATTTCCTTAAGTTGTGTTTAAGTTCAAAATAAAGTAGTCAAAACTCTCGATATTTTTCCATACCAAAACTATAGATTCCCCATTATTTATACATTCAATAGAATCAAAATGTACCAAAGCGGAAACACAAGGTTCAGATCTTCGGTTATATTTACAACGCAATAGAGAGAGAACATTGTCTCATTGGCAAACATCTCTTTCGGTATCAAACCACTGCCAATGCATTTGTGCATATGTCCAGACAGTGTGATGGAGTTTGCCCGCAATTTACGGTATAAATAAGCAAGACATTTCCCGATATTGGGATCCGAGGAACTTCTTAGTTTGTTGCCTTGGTATCGTCACAGGTATCAATATCATTTTATTTGAACTCCTATCATATCAAAGTTGAAAACTCTGGCATAGTGAAGACACTATTTTAAAAAAGTGGTGCCTTGGACATAAAGAATCACAGTCAGAAAAAATATTTACAATAGAAAAATCAAGTCCAATGTCATAAATGATAAGCTGCAACAGGATACTCTTTGAGATTTCACATGCGACATGCTGTCCAGTCAGCCGCATCTTAAAAGTCTCTAAATGACTAGCAGACAATTGAATTGAACAACAAGAAAAAGAAAACAACACCATGAAAACCACAGCTCTCCTCTCAGCCAGGCCTGTTGCTGTGGAAACCACTAAGACCTGCACTGTGCCGGGGGTTGAGTAATTAACGATTGGTGTAACAGAGGCTATGAAAGCACATTTAGGAAGCTGGATGGCTGAATAAAACTCCACCAAACGCTTCCTGCCAGCGCTACGATCCATCTCGACGGTGAACAAAAGGAACAATCAATTCTCCTGAACAAAAGCCAGAGGAGGAGAGAGTACAGTGGAGACGGGCTTTGTGTGTAACGTCTGGTGCAACGCACACATAGGCCTACACACCTAGAGTACCTATCAACAGAAAAAATCTCACCTGAGTGTATTGAGTCTGAATTATTACCTTTTGGAGCTCTTTATGGCCTAGCTTATTACTATATTTCAGGTCTTTTAGCCTGATATCAGCCGAAGTGGATCGTCCATAGTTTGGGCAGAAGACTTTTGTTTGTTTTAAAAACCCAGCTAAATCAGATTTATTACAACTTGGGTCTTATTTTGGTTGTCGTTGCAATAGTTCCTATCAAGATAACATACAGACCCGTGAATAGGATAACAGTGCTACAATATCATTAGACACGTTTTTCTCTCACCTTATTTTAAACAAACACACAGTTAAAACAGATTATCTAACTACTTGATTTGGGTGCTAAATCCAAAGTAAGTGCATCTTAAAGTTGTTAATAATCCCTCCTTTCACATAACAACTTGCATGCATAACTCCAGTAAGAAGTAGGTCAAAGCTGAAGAAGGAAAATGATCTATAGACTACGAGGGTGTATAAAATGAAGACTTTAGGTTTAGAAAAAAAAAAAGTTTTATTCAAACCTGAGGGTTCGTTTCATAAGCTGTCAATACACAAACGATTTCCGTTGCAGCAAAGCTCAGTAAGTCTTCAAACTACAAGGCACAATGATTATACAGTCAGTGCCCCCAAGCGCTATAATAATGTGCCTGCAGTAAATAAGGCTGGCACTTCTTCAGTCAGTAATCTACTTCAATTTTAACATTATTTACATTTAAATCTGCCACAGTTGTATTTTTTTACCCACAGAATCCACCAACATACTTCATGTTTTTCTGATTATGTTGATTTTTTAAATAAGCTTGAAGCATTTATTCAAAGTTTTTCAAAAAGTGACTATTACACATCTGTGATTGTTAGCTATTTCTCTCTTGTTTGCATCTCCTGATACCCTATTAATAGGCATGCCCTGACCTTTCTAACAAGCCCTGATGATGGAGGTCATGATGAGGGTGTGAGATTAAATTTAAGCAGGAATGTGAAGAAGTCACAAGTTTTGTTTGCACTAATTATGTTGTCGCTGGCAGATACAACTTGTGAATGTTTCTTGGATCTTTACATAAAGGTAAACAAAAGTAGATGGATGCTATGAGCGAGCATAACAAAACATCATTAACACATCATTTTAACTGATAGCTCCTCTGTTCAAAAACACACTGATGATTTGAAAGCATCAAAACTGACTTTTTGTGTTTGCACATACAGTCACATCAGCACACTTGGGAAGAAGTAAAATGGAGGAAGGCAGAAGTAAAGCAATTTCCACAATCCTAAAATCCTGTGTCCTGCCCTAGGCCACACAATCTGCACCACAGCAGAGTCCATTCAGAGCGTGGCAGTTTGACTGTGGAGAGAACAGAGAGCCTGAATGTCTGCCAGACACATCCACACAGCGCCGTGAAGGCTTACCGAATGTTGGGCTGCAGTTCCAGTATCAGAGCAGAAAATGGCTTTTGGTGATGAAAGAAACTGCTTGGGTGTTTGGATTTCTCAGTTCAGGATTTGTCCTGCGTGAGAGTATGTGTGTGTGTGTAATCCACAGCAGAAAACAACATTAGGGAAACAGCCTCATGACAGTCCACGGCCATTATACCAGAGCGCTGGATTTTGGCACTTGGGAGTTATAACACTGAGATATTCTCTCACAGGGAGAGAAGACGAACTGCTTAGTCTACGATTATAAAATGATCTAAATGAGTAAGAAAAGATAATATCCCTCATTAGCCAAAGTCTACAGCCGATCTAGCAGCTGTAGGTACTGAGGTGCTTTGAGCTCAGAGCTAAAATAAGCATGCCAACATGTTTGAATTACGATTAGGAATTATATGATCGAGTTATTCTTTAACAGGTTTTGTTTGCGATGCAGTTTAGAGTGTTGCATGTTGAAATGCGCTTATAATCAGCTCAGATAATTCAACAAAGCTCAGGCTATTAAAATCAGATACAAGCTGTTGAGAGATTTAACCAAAAATGCTCTGGTAGTGATAAAACCAGCAAGTCACAAGATAGTTAGCAAGCCGGCTAGCTTGGCTAAAGAAACTACTGTAAATTAAAAAATAAAGTGACAAAGACTTTAAATACCAGTTGGAAAAGTATAATGCAAGTGTGGGTAAAGGCTAGTAGGCCTATCCCTATTTGAACACTAGCTAGTTTTTGCTAGCTAGTTTCTCAATTCATTCCAGACTGGGAGCTCAAATGTTCTTATGATGCCATTTAGAAGTGTTCCAAAAAGGAAAAAAACTAATTTTCATCTCACCATTTACATGCGTCTACAAATGAACATATTTTCAAGTCAATACAGCATCTTGAATAACTTTTAGAAAACAACTTATGTTAGCATTCAGCCACTTTAGACAATTAGCATTTTGTAGAGTTACATGATACGATGGATAAATGTGGATTTCTAGCTAACTCTAATGCTTGTCAACGGTTATGTTAGCAAGGAAGAAGTTGAATGGTAACATTAGCTGTTGTCAAGAGAGGTAGCTAATGTGTTACTAAATGATTTGTTTTATATTTAATCAATGTCAGACGTCCCTCCGGATTTTCACTGTCCATTGTCTTTTGAGTTAATATCAAATGATTAGTGAAACTGTTAACGATTTTCGGTATACCTATACTTTATATTTAAATATTTTCTTTCCCTATTTTCAGAGGTAAAAGGCTGTCATGTTATTATGTTGAATCTGTACTATATCAGGTTTAGAAGCAAAATTATTTTCAATGCTGCATCTATATGGATTATTATATTTTTTTTTGGAGCAGTCAGACAAATCATACAACTCTTCTGAACAAAGTCTGTAACAGTATTTATCTTTTCTCTGTACAAAGTAGGGCAGACAAGCACACAATTTTCTGAAAAACACATTGAATAGGCCTACACACTCAGTCACAGCTGCCACTTCTGAGAATCGTTCTTCACTAAAAAAGTCTTCAACAGGGTGAGGAACGATTTGTAAGGTGGGTGTGTGAGGCCAAATGAGGGATCAAGACTTTTTCTTGTTCTTTTGTAAACGCACAGAATCTGACTTTTTTTTTTGCAGAGAAGCAACATTCAAAGCTAGTGTCTGTCTACAGTACATGGTGTAACACCTTCCCTTTGCTGCAGTGTAATTTAGCCCTATTTTCAGCCTTCAAACACTTCTGTCTGACACTCGTTTTGCCTCTTCCTCCTTTCTTTCTCTTTTTTTATGTTCCTTGTTCTGATGGTTTATGATTCCTAAGCCTGTCGGCTCCCTCACAGGTTTCAGAGTCACGGTGAGACAGCTCTATCAGAGCCGCAGCAGCCTAAATCTACTTTCCTTTGCCGAATCTCGTCCTCATCCTCCACTCTCTCTTCTGTATCACCTCCTCGTCTCACATCTAATCTCTTCCTTCCTACTTTTCCGACTCCGAACGGGACGGCTGTCATGAAGCATATTACCAATTTCAGATTTTTGAAGGCTCAGCGTCTTTTCCGGACATCTACCGACTAATGTCTGGAGTGAACAAGAGATGGTGACAATAAAAACTGTGTGCGGCTGTGTGTGAAGGCGTCAGTTTGTATTTATTAGTATTACAATATGTGTGAGCATGTTACAGAGAAAGAACAATAGAGACAGCCAGACTCCAGAGTATTAGGGACGATAGAAAACATGTGAAAAAACTGTCTCTGATGACGAAACAGCTGAGGCTAGACAAAGAAAACAGGTAAATCAACGGTCAAACCGGCACTAGTCTAGACTATAGGATTATTTGCTTAATCTCTAAAATAAAGAACATAGACAAAATCAAGATTGTATTTCCAGTTTCATTTGAGCTCCATGTTTAGTTCAATATCAAAACTGTAGTATTTCTCTTGAAAACGGTGAACAGGCTTAAAATCCCTTTGCTCAATGTTTAATTCCCGCCCACATCTTATCTCGAGGCTGAATGAGGGTCAGTTTTGAAGAGTCAAAGGCGGATGTGATCAAGAATAATTTTTAGAAGATAACTATGTGGATGAGCTTTTACAGAAAGAAGTTGTGAAATTTTTAATTTGGTGTGCCGAATGACAGTAAAAAAACACAAATAAAATCCTAATTTCCTTCTGGGATGAGTTAATAAGAATGAAGGAATGGGTGTATGTGCATTTGTGGGGGGGTGTGTGTGTGTGTGTGTGTGTGTGGGTGTGTGTGTGTGCGTGTGTGCGTGTAAAAGTGGGAAAGAGAAAAAAAGAGAGGCTCCTATTTATAGCAGCTTCTTGGAGACACAAAGCACACAGTGCAGCGATGGCCTCAGCTGCCTAAGGCAGAAAGGCTGCATTGTAAAACATGGCTGCACCTCCCTTGTGTGTGTGTGTGTGTGTGTGTGTGTGTGTGTGTGTGTGTGTGTGTGTGTGTGTGTGTGTGTTAGAGCATGAGTGAGTCTAAGGCAGGGAGAGAGACAGGCAAACAGAAAGAGAGAGACTGAGGGAGACACTCGTGGGAGAGGAGCAGAATTTGGCAGAGAATTAACAAATGATTCATTGTGGGTTAATTGACCCATTGTGAAAATGATTAAATAGACCCAGTGTATATTTGGCCCTGGCATCCTTGGCAGAATCTACTGGAGAGTAGAGAGAAAGACAGAGCAGCTTTTAAGGAGGAAATAGGAAGAAAAGGACGAATCAGATTCAATTTGGCTAATTTTAGAAACGATAAAGGAGAGCGTCACTACAAAAATCAAATCTATTTTGCTCTTTTTATTGGTTTATTCCATTAGAGGAACAGATTCTGTTTCTGAAAGCCTCCAAATACAAATAATGTCATTTAAGTGATGTGGATCCGGCTCAACTCTGCAATCATAGGTCAGAGAACTGTAGAACAAACTGTAGAACCCTAAATGTCAAATCTGATCTGTCAACCTTTTTTTTTTTTCTTCTTTTTTTAAGGTCTCAATGTTGTCACTATGAGTAGTGGTTAAGTCAGGCAGATCCATTAATGGACATTTTTTTCCCTCACCAGTTTCTGGAACAGGTCCCCGACTCTCTGGTGGTGGCTCCACTGCTGGACACGAGGAAAAAGTCCATCGTAAAACTCCCTGTGGATCTCGTAGAGCTCAGGCACTTTGAAGAAGATGGTTTCTATTTGGGCCACGGTGAGCACGGGCTGCGACGTCGTAGCAGCAGCCTTCAGGGGCTTCATTGGCTGGGAGGAGCAAAGAGAGGACATAACCGCTGTAAAGGTTGCTTTTTGTTACATGTGACAACTTACACTTATATCTTAAAAAAGTAGATATGCATCCATTTAGTAAGACTAAGAACTGAAATCTAACACTCAACTAATAAGCCACTGTGCATATTAAAGCTAATATTGGCGAACTATATGTAGACATTACTGCACATGGCATCTTTATTGCTATTGTCTACTTGTTTAACTGTTCTTGTTTGTTGGAATAACAACTTAACAGTATCGTCCTAACGTTGAAAGTTCTTATAGTAGACTTGTAAGCAGACAGTTGTGAAGTAACACAACTAGCATAACAATATCGGCATTTATTTGTTTCAAGCAGCGTAAAATTGACTCTGGTTTCAGCTCTTTTAAACCCCTCAGAAAACAATATCTAGCTTTAGCTGTTAAAAGGGTCCATATGATAACCAGCTTGTTAACTCTGTTTACTGTGATGAGCAGGGAGACACGAGACCAAAACTAATTCGATGAAAGGTGCTAATAAGCTCTGCTGAGCTCAGTGAAGCTGCTGACTCTGATGTTGACTCTGAGTTGGTTTATCGGTCTGAGGAATTCTCCAGATTGAAAGGTAATCATTCATTTAATTTAATTGTAAAAGTCAGGGTGCTTTTGCAGCCACTGGCTGAATATATTGTTTGGAAATTTCAGCGTTGTATCCTGTGTTTGAAACGTGTGGTAATAGTGTTCGCTGTCCATATTAGACACACCAGTGAGTCTTACTGCTAGATGATATCATTGAACACATGTGCTGATGAACATTACATTTACTAGCCTAATAAAACAAAACATATTTTAGGTATAGCTGTTGAAATTATCTTACATATAAATATAACCTCATGGTATACACTTTCATATTATCCAACCTCAGACTACTATATTTATTTTCATTGGATTAGGCTTTTTGGAACTGTGATTTGTGTGTGTGTGTGTGTGTGTGTGTGTGTGTGTGTGTGTGTGTGTGTGTGTGTGTGTGTGTGTGTGTGTGTGTGTGTGTGTGCGTGCGTTCTCACCAGCAGCAGTGCCTCCAGGTGACTGAGGTATGTTTCCTCTGTGGCTAAGATCCCAGACAGGACCCACTTCCTCATCTCCAAACCTTTCTCCAGGTCACATTCAGTCTGCAACAAACAACATCACAGTGGAAATAAATTATGATCTAACAATAGAATAATACTAATTTGAATCAATTTACCCAACTCAATGCTTTCATTTTTCACTTTTCCATGTACATGATTTGATTATCCTGAGTCATTAGAAACATTTAAAGCATTATATTGTTCCTTATCTGTTATCAAAAATACAATTTTTATGACTTGTTGGCCAATGGGAAATTTAATGATTTCTGATTTTTTTTTTTTGGTGAGCTTGAAACTCCAAACACAGGTTTGCCGTTTGTGAGTGCCAAAGTCTCGGAAATCAAACAGCAACAATTGCACATTCGACAAATCCTCCCTGGCTGCCTTCCTGTTCCCCTCAGCCCAGTCAGAGCTCACTGAGCTGTGCGGACATGAAAGAAAACAGAGAGACAGACAGATTCCTTGGGCTGTCTTGTTTAACCGTGAACTCTGAAATAACTCAAACAGGCAGAGTCTCCCACGGGAGCAAGGTTGGCGTAAAAATATGTGCGTGTGTGTGTGTGTGTGTGTGTGTGTGTGTGTGTGTGTGTGTTAGGGAATGCAAGAGCACAGACACATACACACACTGTGAGCCCAGGTTGGGATGTAGATGCATTCAGTCCCTCAGGCTACATGAGAGACAATGACGAGGGAAGAGGATGAAAAGAAGGGATGGAGAGGGAAGAGCATGTCATGGCAGATTTAGTGTAATTAAGAGAGTAAAAAGAGACGGGGAAGAGGTCAAAGCATCTGAAATCATAAAGAACAGAGGAAGAAGTATTTTTATATCGATGGTTGAAAGTTCAAAAATAAATACTGTGCGCATAGCTTCACACGATACCATATTATAGCCAGAGAGGAGGAAGCGAGAGGGCAGGAAAAAGGCAGGCAGATGTGTTTTCTCTCTGCCTCTTTAGCTTGGAGTGATGGAGAGAAAGACAAAGAACGAACAGATAAAAGGAGGATAAGGAAGAAGGAAATAGCAGGAGAAAAAGTAATAAAACGCAAAGAGAAAGAGTGTAAGCAGGAAAAGAGCAGAGTTTATCAGAGAGCTTATGTAGAATGTCCCCTCTGAGTTAAATTCCCTCTGTTGTCCTTTGTTGTTAGTGTCAACAGAAGTCACAAGATTTCAGGATCAGTAACAACTCACACCTTTTTATCATCCATCTTTAACACAGCCCTGCCTTCCATTTCTCAGGAGTTGTCATGTATGTGTGTTTACACAATCTATAGTACTCCTGTATACACTAATGCTGCCATGTATGTTTACACAGCAATCATACATGTACAGGTTATACACCGGGAAGCAGCAAAAAAAAAAAAAAAAAAAGGGTCAGACTGAGGGCAAGAGACGGGCAAAATGATCAAGACAAAAGGCAGATTAAGGCGGAATGATAGCACCTGGTTTCTTATAGGATAGAATGCAAAAATCACATATCGTTTTGTCAAAACAGATGTTTACATGTTCTTCCAAAGCTGTAAAAATGTATATTTCCAATCCATTAGTCTCTGTGTACGTTAAGCCTGTATGTAAATGACTCATCTAGACAGCAGAATTCAGGCTTTATATAAATTTGCACGCAGACAATCGAGTCATAAGGCTGTTTGTATGTTTATGGGTGTTCATGCATTTATTTAAACAATGTGGTAATTGGACCTGTTCATAAAAAAAAAGATTAGAAAATAGTCCAGGATAATTATGTACTGCATTACATAGTAAAAGTCAATCAACGTCGGTGCCATGCTAATGTTTAGCCTGTAAGCTATAACATGTCCTGCATACACTTAGATGTAATTTCAAAAACGTAAAAGTTTTTGCATAGAAATATAGACAGTAAGGAGTGGCAACCAAGACTTGTGAAATGTGTGGTCACGTTTATATTTCAAACCAACCATTCATCCTTAAACTAGACTTTAGTGAACTTCTTAGCATCGTGGCAGCTAACCCATCAGCTCTTTGTGTGAAGGCTTTAAATTATACATGAAACATGACTTTTAAGGATTTTGTGTTTTTGGTTAATCAGATGTTTATTTTATTTATTATCTTACAATCACTTTATTTGTAAGATGTCAGAAATTGACTTTTCAAACTAGAAATACAAGTTCAAAAATACATAGCAAGCATTATCAGAGTTTGGACCCAAATAATTGTATTACTTCTTTGCTCGAAAAAGTTGACTTTTATTGTGTTGATCTACTGATGAGCTCAACGACTTATTGCATCCTTACTTCATTCATTTCAAATAGTTTGAAGAAACCAACAGGAATGTGAGAATATAACATTTGTCAAAGTGTTTGTCATGTCTCCATACAGTAAAGTCTTCTCTCTTGTTTCTTCTCTCTTGGTCTGTGTCTCTTTCGTAGGTGAAGGATGAAGAAATGATTCTGACAGACATGTATTATGCATGACGGAAAGCCATCTAGAGGTCTGTGCTGGGTATAATAATATCAGTTTCTTCGAAAGAACTCAAACAGTACATCTTATACAAACTCTAAAACAACCGATAGAGTTCTCTCTTTTATTTTATTTCTTTTAAGAGTGGAAATAAAATGGCACTGAAAGTAAATTTAAGAATGATTTCTGTTGCTTGTATGATGCTTGAAATCTGTCCGTTTCCACTTCATTTAAAGGGTGAGCCTGGCAGAAACGGAGCTCATGAGTGTTCCTTAAATGAATAAAAAATGAATGAGTCCTTGCTGGGCTACATGTATCAGCATGAGCTTTATGACTTATACAATCACAAGCAAATCATCAGAATCAGAAACAGAATCGTGTGGAGGAAACTTTGAACATTCAGCCACATGGCGCTGAACGAGGTGGAGGGGAGACAGGAGCTATAAAGTGTTTATTCATCGTTTCAGACCCCAGACGACTCCCCAAGGAAGTACCCACATCTCCAGACATATCATCTTTTATTCATCGCCGTGGCAACTAATGAGCCCATCTTCGGTTCATACGTGTGGGGTGTCTGACTGCTTTTTTAAAGTAATCAAAGAAGTTAAAATAAGACACATTCTCTCCCTGCTTGGGGGAAGTTTTTTTGGTTTCTGTGTTCAATCTGTGCAAGAGTCAATAAAAGTTCATATTTAACATTAGATCCAGCACTGAAACCTCTTAAGATCACACAACAAACCACAGCTGAACATCTTTTTTTTAACATGATTTACAAATTCTGATAAGCTCCTGATGTGTTTAAGAACGGATAACATTAACGGGAGATACATGGATATCAGTACAAATAGTGTTTATTAGATAATCCCGCAGATGTAACTCAGGAGCAACTAAATCTCATTTTCTTTCTGTTTCTATATGAGTGAAGGAGACTTATATAAACCTTCAGAAGCAGGTTGCAGAGGACAGAAGTCCTTTTCCATTTGCATCTAATCTATTAGGCATCCTGTTCTGCCATCCCTTGTTTTGTGAAATGCCTAATGTGATTGCTTCCTCTTCCAAATGTCTGCTACATAATGGAGCTGTCTTGGAATTACCCAGAGCTAGCAGGAGAAAATACAACAAACATTCTGATTATTTCGACTGCAACTTCAGCGTTACGTGATAGATGTTGACAGATTTGGTGTCTGCGGGGATTTTTCTGTATGGCACGCTCACAGTGACACATCGCACCATGACTTTAATTGCAAGAAAACAAGCTGTGCATTCAGTGAACGTTCATTACAGTTGTGATAAATCAAAGCAAAGAAGCTTTGAAGCTTTTAAAGATGTCTGATCCACTGAGGATGATATTAAGAGGGTTTTTAGCCCTTCCCCAGTGGGGAAAAAAATGACCTTCCCCTTAAAGGTGTGATGTCAGACAGCATGAGCCAGCAAAGACAATAGCCCTCTTCAGACAAATCTTTTTGCAAAAGTGCCGTAACTAAGCTCAGCCGTCATCACGTCTTTGTACATTCATACTGATTCCGAGACTCCCTAATATTAACAATTCGGTTAAGTGCGAGCTTCATGTAAACACACAGTCAGTCATCCACGTAAACACAGTGCTGCGCCCCCCCACCCCGCCCCCCCGATGCCTCCACTGAAGCCTTCTCGCCTCTCTAACACTTCTGTCGCTAACCTCCGATACACGGTACAGAGGGTGGATGCTCCCACTACGCCTCCACAACATTTAGACTGAAGGTGAAATTTCACAGCAGCGTAAAAATTGCAGCTTGAAATAGCAGTCCCAAAAGGGCTTAAGAGAAGCTATTTTATTAAAAGTAATCCACAGTGTCTGAGTGAATAATAAATAATAATAATAATAATCTTACATTTTATTTATAAGCGCTTTTCAAAAACTCAAAGACACTGAAAGAAAGAACAGCACAGTAAGGACAGACTAACAGACACTGCAACTTTACACACAAAAATGAAAAAAATGAATGCTTACATGTTGTCCTAACTAATAAACAATCTTAGTGACAGTTTTGATAAGGTCAATAGTAGTTTTGTGATGCTTTGATCATTGTGGGTGGGGTCACATGCAAATAGGCGAGGACACTTGTTGTTAATACAGGCAGCTTGTTCACATGTGTATGGGTTTGAGAGAGGGCAGGAGTGGGTTGTCATTTCTGTATTTTCATCAATGAAACTTTTTGGATCTCTTTTGGTAATATGCCTGACAAGAGAATCCAGGCCTAACCTCAGTCTCTCAGCCACTTTTAGTCTGTTCAAATGAAGTCGGGAGTTTAAGGCAATAATCACAGAATGTAATATTGAAGCTTCAAAGATGTCCAACTACAGTTGCATGTCTTTCCATCTGTCTCTCCCTGACGATTCTCATGCTGCGTTTTCAAGCATCTTGTAAAGGCATAGAAAGTCCAAAGAAATAGGGAAATAAAGTTGGCTGTCCTTGACTGACCTACAAGTAAGGGTTTGACTGTGCTCTAGCGTCATTATATTAGTTTGTGTTTGCAAAATGGTTTAAATACCGCAGCACAGTCCTTACACTATAACTGACTTTTGGGCAGTGACCCCCCCTCCCCCTCCCCCTCCCCTGTTGTGCAGGGCAGAGCCAGATGATGAGAAAAAAAAGAGCCCTATTATAATGAAATCAGCCGTATTTCCGATGGTGACTCATCACAGTGACATCATAAAACCATCATCTCCCACTGAGCCAATCAGAGCTCTTCTGGACTCTGACTCATCAATTAAAGAGGGGAGAGACTGGGGTGATGTCTGAAGAGAGGATGTCCAAGGGCAAATGAAGGACGGAGGTAACTCATTTTTTATTTTTTTTATTTTATTTTATTTTTTACAGCAGCCATTGATGGCATGTTTGCCTTTCCTTTTTCTTGCTGCATAATTTATTCATTACACTGCCTCTGCTAAGGCAAAACACACAGACACACAGCATTGGGTTTACTCAGCAATTCTGCCTCTAAACTCGAGAGTGTACCCAGCAAAATGTCTTTAATCCCTTCCACATTTAAGAGTCTCATTCTGCTCTAAGAGGGAGAAAATGTGAATGTGTGCAATTTGTACACTTAAAAAAAAAAAGGCAGGTGCATTTGCAGCCTGGAGCAGGGATGACGTGACATGTGCATGCGTGTGTGTTAATTAAAAAACATTGAGAGTTTCAAGCTCACAGGGCAAAGGTCGCAGGCAGTCAAGGGTCTCATCATTTATTGGCAGAATCAAGCCATCCATCAGATTAACAGTCGCTCGCTCACCAGCTCAGACAGTGAGAGAGAACTGAGGGGGGCGGAGTAAATGATAAGGCCAGTGATGCAATGACTTCCTCCAAGGGCGCAGTGCAAAGAGGCAGAATGAGCCTATTACAGTTACCCAAAATACCTTTCTGTTCTATAGGGGAACACATGGCTCTAGCATCATTATCTGTAAATTCTCTCTTGGGGAAAAAAATAAATAAACGAGGAAATAAAAGAAGAGATTTGTGTTGTAAATTCCATCTTCATTTTCCTCTTTGCTGACGTTGGGATTGTGTGTGTGTGTGTGTGTGTGTGTGTGTGTGTGTGTGTGTGTGTGTGTGTGTATCCCCTCCATGGTAACCTTTGAAGAGCACCAGACGTCATAGACCACCCCGCAGACAAGTAAAAGCAAAGGAGAGAAGGGTAAGAGGATGAAGGCAGTGATGGGGTGATGGAGGCAATAGGTAATTCAGCCTAATACCCGGGATGAGAGCAAAAAGCCGGGCTCTTAAAGGGGATGAGTTTCTTCCCTGGATCACTGCTTCGGGGGTTACGGGGAAGTCTTTATTTCATCCTTTATCAATCCTCTCAAATGGCAGATTTGATCTCTCATCAATTGACAGATATTTGACGGAGTGGGATTGCTTTAAGAATAGATTAGCCCACTTCCTGAATGGTATTGAGGTCAAAGTGTGGAATGACTGGCACCTATTGGTAACCACGATTGTACACTGTTGCATTTAAATAGTATGATGCCTTAAGTCTATAGCTCAGAGGGGAAAAAAAAACTTGATATGTAGAAGCTTTGATTTGATTCTGCATGTGATATTTGCTGCATGAAAAACTGCTGCTAGAAGACAGGGTGGCAGACTGACCGACTTGGAGGACTCTAAAGATCCCGATGAAAGCGTGTCTCGACTGCTGCGGCTCTTGGAGCTGAGGTGCGGCGAGGATGAGGGCGAGTCATCGATGTACGGCAGGATGTCATGGTGCCTCCGCTGCTCTTCTGCACGGTCCGCATCATAACCGTACGAGGGAGGGGTGCTGGTGTAATGACCATCTGTGACAAAGGAGAGGAAAACCTTTAGTTATTTCACTTTTTAAGACTTTCTTTTCCAAGGGGGGGAATTCAGAAGTGACCAATACTAAAGTTTAGGTGTCTTGTTGGGAAAACTGGTATCAGCACATCTCTCACTTATTGTGTAGCTATCTGCGCTGCACATGTGATCGGGGTCTAAAACTGGCATATTGCAACAGTCTCCTAAAATCAACATTTATAATTGTTTTTCAAAATAAGACTTCAGTGAGCTTCAGTCGAACAAAATGTATCCATGTGTGCTGTGTTTTTACAATGTTCACCGGTTAGATTGATGTCTTAAGTCGACTTGCTCGCCTCATATCCACAGAGGGTTGTCATGTGTACTGCAGTTAATTTCCAACACTAATTAATGCAACTTTCAGAAACTAGGGCACACAAAATGAGCTCCCCTCTGCATCCTTCTTTATGCATTCATACAAAAACATTCAACTCTGGGAGAAGGCACTTACATTTAAAAAAAAAAAAAAAAGGCCAAATAAAAACTGGGTCAAGGTTCATATAATTTGAAGGAGTGTTGCGATCTCCAGGGAAATTTTCAGCAAACCTCCCTCAGCCCCTTCTTCTGGTGTGGGCAATATTACTTTATTCTGAAAGAAAACATAACACCTCAGCTGGAACAAAGTGGGGATGTTTATGATTCTGCGCTGCCCTTTACCAAAAAGAAAAAGAGATGAGAGAGACCGACAGATGAAGAAACAAAAGGTCAGAAACTACAATTTGACTACAAACGACTTGTTTACACTGACTCACACACATGCATTTCATTTAAGTTTTGGCTTTTTTCTAAACCTGTTTTATTGCATACAAATTCCTGTGGGAGAGAGTATAGTCAGCGGTTCGGGGAATATATGTGTGTGTGTAACAGCTGAGGGGAAGACATCATGCATCTCTGAAAGACACTCAAGACCTTATGCTCATCTCCTCCCACTCCTACATTCAACATCTATGCTGACTCAGACCGAAAACAGGCCACACAAACACTCTACAGTTCACACCAATTACAAACATGTACTCATACTCCTTTCTTTGCACATCTCCAGTCTCTCTTTTATCGTGTTTTATGATTTTTTTTTTTACAACTAACGCCAGCACATACACAGACATACGCTCTCAAAGAAACAGATAATAGAGTGAGAAAAAAAGATGAGGAAGGGATAGAAAGAACAATGCCAGAGTGTCCAGGGCCCGTCTGACCTTCAGCCCACCCACGGCTCGCTCCTTGTACTCGCTGCAGGCTGTGGGTGGTTTTCTGCATACTGCGCCTGCTACAACCAACGGCATCCTGCCAGCCAGGCAACATAGAGCTGCTCTGTGTGTGTGTGTTAGTGTATGTGTGTGTGTTTGAGTTTGAGTGTGTTTATTTTTATGTGCAAACAGTCTCCTTTCCACAATGCCAAACCTCACAACAAAACCAAACTAGAAATCCCGCCACACATTCTGCATTCATCATTTATAGCTTCAGCACATGCCACTCATGCACATTTGCTGTTATTTTTACATTTCATTCCTTCCATAAACTCCTACACAATTAGATGGTTTGTGACACCTTCCATTATTTTCTTCTTCATGCTTTTCTTTAATGAGTACTGTAATAAGATGCACTGCAACAACTGTATTGCATGGTATATGCTATGAGATGAGATTTATTCAGGTGAATGTTTCAGCCTAGAAAGCTTTGAACTAGGGGTGAAGATATGCTGAGCGGTTATGTTGCTCGCCCCATGTACAGTCTTCATCACAGCGATCGTGGGTTCGAATCCGACCTCGGCCCTTTGCTGCATATCATCCCCCCCCCCCAATTCTCTCCTCCCAACATTACCCGTCTCTCTTCAGCTGTCCTAACAAATAAAGGCAAAAAACTCCCAAAAAAAACCTGCAGAACATACACAAATAAACCTGGGGAATCTTAAACTCCTACAAATATCATGCTTTTCTAGCCTTCTGACCAGTCAAAGCATCACATTCACACACATACACACACACACATTAAGCTTCCTCCATAGATGCTAATGGAAACACACTTACTTTTAGGACTGATTCGCTGCTTTTAAGAAGAAAAAAAAAAAACGAATAATACAAGGTGTGAATGTGAAAAACGCAGAGTGGGAAGTGACTCCATACCTGGAATGTTTTTCTTCCCTCCCAACCACACCTCTATGTACCCGTGCTAGAAAGCATAACATTCAAATACTCCCTTTAAACACCCTTACACCTCTTGTGAAAAGAAGTTGTCCCTAGAAACATGTTGAAGCTGTACATGTGTGTATATTGTGTGTGTGTGTGTGTGTGTGTGTGTGTGTGTGTGTGTGTGTGTGTGTGTGTGTGTGTGTGTGTGTGTGTGTGTGTGTGTGTGTGTGTGTGTGTGTATATAATGCCCACACAGCCCTGAGGACAAAAATATTGAGCTTCCAAAACCTTCCATTTTTAACCACCTCTTGATTAAAAAGGGGGAACAACTCCACACATAAAACCACGATCATGAATAATAATGACAAACTGCAGATAAAATGAGGCTACATAAAAGCCAAAATGAACACCCCAGTTCTGACTAAACAAGAGTGTCTTCTGGGAAATTAAGTCTCAATGGTGCAAAAGCAAACAAGAGCTACAAGGCAAATAGCTCCAGTTTATCTGTTTGTTTGCCTTTTTACAAATTAAACAAAGGAAAATGGAAGTTTTCCCGTCTCTTTGCCTAATATAGTGCTCGGAATGTGTGCACACATGACTTGCAGTTTTCCAAAGGGGGAAGGACTGAGCTTTACAAGTTGGTTAATGGGTCACTATGGCCTGTGGTCGTCAAACACCAGGCTTCAGTCTCTCCACGTCTGACCTCATCTGGGCCCAGACGCCGCTTCAAACGCCGCCTCGAGTCGCTCGCTCTCCCGCCCGTCTCTCACGCTCTTTGTTTGTCTGCGTTGTCTCTAACCGCCTCTTTCTTTATCTTCCGCTGTCCCCTCCTTTGTTGCTCTCTTTTCTTGTGAACAGATCGCCTGTGTTTCCACTGATTTGTGACCTCCACAGCTGGCCTCTTCATCCTCATGCTGCTCGCAGATCAGCATCTTCCTCTTCCTGCTCTGAGCTGTCTTACATTCCTCTCTCTCTTTTAGATTGTTTTTCCACACGATCCCCCCTCAGGAAAAGAATAAGCAGCAAATTTGACATAAAAGCCTACACGTGTCTACAGAGCAGGCGAAATACACAAACGAGCACACATTCATACTGAAAGAAAGGCCTTCAAACAGCCCACCTATTGATTCCTTCCTGCAGCTATGACAGAAATAAAACATACACATATTTACATGGAAACAGTGTTTGGGAGGGGAACAGGTCTTTTCCTGCTGCAGGTGGAAAACTACATTCTCACTGGGAGTAGCTCTTGCTCTGCTGCGATGGCAACACGAGAGTCTTTCCAAAACAATACAGCAGGCAGGGCCGGGGTCTCAGGGTATCATGTGACACAGGTCGTACTTTATAGTAGAAAACTTGGGCTTCAAATACTGTACATGGGAGCTTAAGGCATCTATTAAATATCACTTCATCATAATCCTTTTCATCGCTAGCTTCGGTTAGCTGCAGATGATGCATAATGCGAGGACTTTGTGGAGCATGAGACACTTTAATAATAATGGATCATGCATCCAGTAGAGTGATTGTGTACAAATCTTTAAGAACCTGAGGACACCTCTGCTTGGTATCACACCTCAATACCTCTCGGTATACCAAACAAAGATCCCAGCATATACAAAAACTTTATCAACTTACTAACCCGTAACATTTAATGGCAATTCAATTTGGTTTACTTCTTTTTGATCAGATTATTTTGGATGTCTTGTTTTAGATCGTATATATATATATATATATATATATATATATATTGTTTATGTTCTTGTTTTTCGACAAGAATGAACATTTCAAAACCCCAGATTCATCCTAAACAACATGGTCCCAGGAGAGGGTTAGCTAGCTTTGCTTAGCTTAGCTTAGCTTTGAAGATAAACAGCTCGTCTCTTTTTTTTCTTTTCTGGAAGCTAAATCCAATCCAGCACACACAAACATTTTATATGACTGTTTTTCAAGCTAAAGTAAAGGATGTAAATTGAAATGAAAAGTTTTGTTGGGACTCTTTTCTCATCAACTGGCCATAGCTTAGCCGTGGTTGTAGAATTGGCGATAGTTTGGATAAAGTAAAAATGATACCAGCTCTAATAGACCAGTTATGAGAGTCACATGTCCTTATAAGCTAGGCTGTCATAGGTTCTTTATTCTAATGACATGTCTTTCTGAGAGGCCATTCAACATCCTCTCTGTTTTCTTGCACACACTCTTCCTCTGTACTCTTGTTGGATTGTCTCTGGACTGGACTGGAAGCAGGTGCCAAAGTAAGATTTTTAAAAAAAAGAAAATACCGTAATTAGAAATGCAAAGAAAAATAACGGGAGCAGACAAGGACAAAGCAACAGACTGAAAGCCATGAAACCGGAGAGAGAGAAAGGGGAGCGACTCTCAAAGGAGGCATTAGATATCCTCGATAGTGTGAGCTGCCTCTCCATCCCCCATCATGCTTTTCACTCAGCCCTGCCGTCATAAATCTGCTCTGCATTTATTGGACTCTAGGAAGAGGACGCCTGTCATACTTACACACACTGCCAATACAACCCCACGTCTGGCCCTTGTTCTCTCTCTCTCACGCACACACAATCACAAATCCATTCACACACCTTCCCTTAAAGCCCCACCCGGCCCCATAGGATGCTAATGTTTGGTTACAACACCCAGATCCCTCTCTTAATCCAGCCAATGTAATCAGAGATCAAATGGAGTGTTTTAATGGCTTCCTCTTCTACCTCCTGCTTAACCGTATCCACATACAGCGTGCTAGTAGGCTAAATTGGGTTTGGTAGGTCATGTCTGGATACTGGAGATATATAAGTGAACCCCTGTCTCAGGAATAATGCTGCAAT